TGAACAAAACTGTTTGCAGTCTCACTGTTTGAAGGTCCCCTCTGTATGCTTTAATTTTGTAACTTCAACAACTATTTCTAAGATGACAATATGTAATTAACTAGTGATTTCCTATTTATTTTTTCTGAAATTCTGTATAACTTGTACCCTTTTTCTGTTTTTTTTTCTCCTTAAATAAAATTTAAAAAAAAAAAAAAAAAAAAGAGTCTACACCATGGCCAAGTGGGATTCATCCTAGCGATGGAGGGATGGTTCAACATAACTAACTCAATAAACATAATGCACCACATTAACAGCTAAGTGCAAAGATCACATGATCATCTCAATAGATGCAGAAAAAGCTTATGACAAAGTCCAGCACCCATTCATGATAAAAAAAAAAAAAGAAAAATAATTGGAATAGATGGTCTCTGCTTCAATCTGATAAAGGTCATCTATGACAAACCAATAGCCAACATCATACTAAATGCACAAAAATTGAAAGCTTTCACTCTAAAATCAGGAGCAAGACAAGGATGTCCACCGTCTCCACTCTTATTCAACACAGTCCTGCAAACTTTAGCCAGAGCAATTAGACAAGAGAAAGAAATAAAAGGCATAAAGATAGGAAAGGAATCTGTTAAATTATTGTTATTTGCAGATGATGATATTCTGCACAGAGAAGACCCCCAAAATACCACTGAAAGAACTAGATTTAATAAGCAAATTCAGGAGTATAGCTGGATACAAAGTCAACACTCAAAAATCAATAGCTTTCCTGTACACAAACAATAAACTCACTGAGAGAAATTAGAGAAACAACACCTTTCACAACAGCATCCAAAAAAAAAAAAAAAAAAAAGCAATGAAATACCTAGCAATCAATCTAACAAAGGATGTAATGACCTGTACTTTGAAAACTACGCTACACTGATAAAGGAGATTAAAGAAGATATTAGAGGGCTGGGGATTTAGCTCAGCGGCATAAGCACCTGCCTTGCAAGCAGTCAGTCATGAGTTCGATCCCTGGTACCGATAAAAAGGAAAAAGCCAAAAAAAAAAAAAAATGATATTAGAAAATAGAGATACAACACTGCTCTTGAGTAGGAAGAACCAACATAGTGAAAATGGCCATACTTCCAAACCTGTTATACACATTTAGGCAATCCCAATCAAAATTCCAATAGCATATCTCACAGAATTAGAGAAAACAATCCTAAAATTCATCTGGAACCAGAAGAGACCTAGATTAGCAAAGGTAATCCTGGACAACAAAGACAAGATGGAGCATCACAATCCCTGACTTGAAATTATACTATAAAGCTACTGTGACAAAAACAGCATGGTACTGGAAAAAAAAAAATCCAAAGATTTGTGGAACAGATTAGAAGATGCAGAAACAACTCCAGACCTACTAATCCACTTTATCTTTGACAAATTGCCAAACACATTCACTTTAATAAACAGTGCTGGAAAAACTGGCTCTGTACATGCTGAAGATTAAAATTGGACCCGTATCTTTTACCATGCACTAAGGTAAATTTAGAATGGATCAAAGACCTAAATATTAAAGCAAAAACATTAAATCTGCTGGAAGATTGAATAGATAAAACTCTTGAAGACACTGGTGTTAGGCAGAGGCTCTATGAATGTTTGTTTGTTTTGTCTTTTTGAGACAGGTCTTGCTATGCAGTTCAGGTTGGCCTTGAGCTGATTTTGTAGCCCAGGTTGGTCTTGAACTCCCCAAGATCCTCCTGCCTCAAACTCCTGAGTGCTGAGATTACAGGCATGAGCCACCACGCCTGGCAAAGGCTTTATGAATGAAACCCTGATGAAAAAGACTTCCAGAAAGATAGCAGAGTGGTGAGCATCAGAAAAAGAATCCAAATTTTGGTGTCCAGATCCTGGGATATAGCAGCAAAGAGAAAGAGAAGGAGAGAGGTGGGTTCCAGGGACACAGGAAGGATTTGATCTGAGACTTGAAGCCTGTGGGCTTCAGAGAGAAAGAATTTAGGAATCCAGCAAAAGAAAGAAAATCAGGGACAGCAGCCCCGCCACATGGGGAGAGGCAGGGAGGCAGCCACACAGCCTCCGGGGTGCAGCTGGTGGGTCCAGGAGAAGCCTAGGGCCAGGGTCTGTGCAGGATGGGAGGGTGGAGAACCCTGCACACTGTGCAGGCCTCCTGCTGCGGGGCTCAGGGACGCATCAGGCTTTCTTCCAACCCTCAGGGTCTCATCAAAGAAAAGGAACAAAAAAGCAAAGAGAACAGCAATAAGAGAAACTAACTTAACAACAGCAAAGACAGGGAAACAAAAGCTGAGAGAGGGACGTGGAGCCAGGGGCACAGGAGTGCCAGTCTCTGTATTTTCTGGAGCCTCAGCTTACTCTGATCAGTTGTGTGAAACACAGGAGGAAGAGGTGACGCTGGAGGAGCTGAGGCTCAGAAGCCGCTGCTCATCAGATGAGCAAAAGCCAAGACTCAGCCACACACACAACGATGCTAAGAAAAAGAGCAAAATGCCACTTCTCCAGTGGACGCACACACTCCACAAGCACAGGCCGTGGAGCGCAGCAAAGTCGTGCTGGGCCAGATCAGCAGTGCTCTTAGGAGCGTCCGCGAGGAGGGAGCAGGCAGAGCTGTCCTCTTGGGTGAGCTGCAAGCAGGCAAGAGGAAGCCACGGTCCCTGTGACAGACAGGCTCGCTTTGAAGAGCCATTTCCTCCGGCTTGGTCCTGTGGGCATGTGGCCAGGCAGCAAGTCATGGAAGGAGCTCATATCTAGGCTGAGCAGGGAGACGGGGCACAAGGGCCCTTCAGAGGTGCTCCTGCCAGCCTCCTGCGGCACTCTGCTAGGGCCTGAACCATATCCTGGCAGCTCTTTGCAGACTCAATCAGAGACTGGACCGCACCCAGGAGAAACAAGCAGAGCCCAGAGCCCTGCCACATCCTGTATGGAGCTGGGGGCCGGTGGGTAGAGGAGCAGGTTTCTGCAGTGACAAAAAGAGCAGCGGCTGCTGCCTGTAGTGAGGATGTGGGACGCTGTCCCCACCCTGGGGAACTGCAGGTTGGACTTGGGGCTCCCAAGAGGACAAGGGGGCTCCTGGTATGGCCCGGTGCAGTGAAGAGGAGGAAGGCACAAGTGATGCTGGGCGCACATACCAGAGGCGCTGTGTCCCTACACCCTGCACCCCTCCCCGAACAGCCGATGTACACGGAGGCCCCGCCGAGAAGGAAGCAATGCTGGTGCATCCTGTGGCTGGACAAAGTTGGGGCAGGGACCTCTGGAGCCCCAGAGGGCAGCCAGCAGAACCTGAGGACCCGAACATGCAAGGACAGAGAAGACATCATGAGCCAGATCAGGAAAGCCGTGCGAGAGGGCTGCATGGAAACGTGTCCACATGATGGGGTGCCCACCGGGGCGGGTGGTGGCAGGGAGCACCCGCCCACCACCCAGGAGGGCGCAGGAGACCGGCTTGTTTGCTACCCTGCAGGGAGCACCTGCTTGGTCCTCCCCAGCCTGCGGTGAGGGACCCTCCCACTCTGCCACACGAGGGTCTTGGCCCGCAGAACAGAGGGTGGAGAGGATTTGAAAGGCGGTGGTCAGTACAGTCACCTGAAAGTTAAGTGCTGGGTCCCTGAGGTCTAGGCTCAGGGCCAGGGGCCCACTGGAGAGGGGGAGGTGGCTGCGAAAAGCAGGTGGGGAAGGGCCCAAGCCCCAGCCCAAGCTGAGACAGAGCTGCACCGTGGCGGGGGTGGAGCAGTGCACTGCCCTCACCCTTGCTGTCCTCACTGCCTTCTGCCTGGCACAGGCCGGTGCTGCCCCCCCCCCCCCCAGCTCCCTGTGCTCCTAGCGCTCCTTCAGGCATTTCCTGCCCGGGTGCTGGCTGGACCTTCCTCGTGGCCAAGGCCCCGCACATATGCCCTCATCCAGGCAAGCAGTGGCCCTGCCTCTGTGCCAGGTGCTTGTCACCTCCAGACCTTCACTTGGACAGGTCTGTCTGCAGCTACCGAGATGGCACCTCGCTCACCTCGCTTTGTCTGCTGCTACTTCAATGGAAGACAAGCCCTGGACACCAGGTCCAGGTGCCCGCAAGCCTTCTGTGTAATAAAAATGCTAAGTGCGAGGTCCAAGTGCAGGCACCGGGCAATGCGGGAGGCCTGGTTGTTCCCGCCTTACCTGCAGGCACCCCAGGTGGGCACCAGGGTCCTGTCCCCGCACCGTTTGCTCCTGCGGGATGAACTACCCAGGTTTGTCTTCCCCTGCTTCACTTCCTAGTCCGCCCTTCTGTGCACCGACAGGGCATGAGAGCTGGCACCCACTGCAAGAGTGAGTGTCCAGGCCGCAGCACCTCCCAGATCTGGTCTCTGGCCACCAAGCTTGACGGTGTCTGATGGGGAAGGCAGAACGGGGCCTTGCTGAGGACCTGCAGACACATCTGAGGACAAGAGTACGGCACAAAACGCACGACAGAAGGGCCCACTGCTGCAGTGCGGGCAGAAGCCCTGACCCAGGACTGCTCAGAAACGGGAGGGTGGATTCTGCGAGTTTCAGTTCTCAGGGTTCCTTTCGATTAAATGTTAAGTATGTTCAGTCTGACACGAAAAAAGTCTTTACCACACAGAGCAAAGTCTAGAAGGCAGTTTGAAAAAGATAATAGTCAAGCCAGGTGCAGGGGCATATTCCTGTGGTCCTAGCATTCAGGAGGCTGAGGCAGGCAGCTCACTTGAGCCCAGGAGTTCGATACCAGCCTGGGTGATACGGTGAGGGCCCGTTTCAAGAGAGACAAGAGGAGTAAGTTTACCGGTCAAATGATGATGGGCCTGTGAACAAAGAAGGGAGACACAAGAATGTTTTCATCTGCCATAAAGCCCTAAAAATACCCTTTCTTCTCCATGGTTGCACCTCTCATCTAGAAGAAAAACAGGTGGGTTCTGTCCAGGGGGCGTGCGCGACTGCCAGTGAGGGCCAGCAGCCCCCAGCTACAGCCCAGCCTAAGTGGAACAGAAGGACCCAGAGGCAGCTTTATAGATGTAAAATATTTTATTTGTAAATGGTGATCTTCTAAATCTGTGTCCACAAATTCCAAAACCCATAACACTCTGTATACTTCAAAAAATTCAATTTCTGTCAACATTAGATACTATTATACAGAACAGAAAACAACAAAAACCCGGTAAGACAAATACTGGTAGGATGTCAGAATATTGTACAAGAGAAGAAAAATACTCAAACAAATTTCATACAGCTATTTATCAAGAGAAAAATATATACAATTGATTTATTCTGTAAGATAAAAATACATCATGCCATATACATTACAAGTTTCGAACTGCGTCACTGAATGTACCAACAGTTTACAGCCCACTCGAATTGTGCACACGAAACTTCATTTATACTTAGCCTCGGAAGTGTCAGTACCAGAATTTAAAGTACAAAATAAAAAGCTAGCCTGGTTCAAAATGCTGATTAAGTTTCTACAAGCAAACACAAAACAGTGTGTTTATTAAAGAAATGTAAACAAACAGTTCATACAAACACATTTTAAAATTACATCTTCGAAAAACCCTATTGCCAGTCCTGCAGCCTTGAGCATAATCACATCTCTTTGTTTCCTTTTCCAAATGTCTGAGTTAAATAGAAGGCTAAGGAGTTAGGATAAGTTCCTGCTACATGATTCTATTATGTGTACATGATTCTTTGTGGTCTGAACAAAATTCTAATCAAAACTATTTTTGCTGAAGAAAAAATTCAGCCTCCATTTGGGTGTACTTTTAAGCAGTTATTCACAGTTATCACAAATTGTAAGCACAAAAAAACCTGACTGAAGAAGTAGGGATGCAACAATATAATATGAAAAAATTAGTTTAAATTACCAAAACAGCTATAAAAGTTGTAGTCAGCATACAGTCTGTTCTGTCCGAAGTTAGGTGTATAAAACAAGTAGTAATAGACGGTAGTTTCCCAAACCCCCAAACACTCCAGGTTGGAACTGTGGTTGTTACATAATTATAAGGGCATAGTTAATAACACAAAGTTATATTGTAACATCCCTATGACGGTTTATAAGCACCCAGCCGCTGCAGAGCCTGGTAGCATTTGGTCAATAACTATTTTTATACTGTATTTTTTCTCAAAATATTTACATATTTGTACAAAGTAACAGGGTTTGTTAGTTCTGCAGGTAACAGCAGCAGCTTGGCTTTCTTCTAACTTTTATTTAAAAATAGCTTCATTCACTTATTCAATAATAAATACAAAAGGTTTCTCTTATTTTACAGAAATCAAAAACTACAATAAACTGACTCATGGAATCAAGTATTTAAGAGTATTTTAGTGCAAGTTATTATCCCTTAGCTCTATCCCTAAGGAAGTCATCTCCGTACATTCCTTGTTCAGTGGCGTCCACGAATTTCACCTAGAGGGCCTGCCCCTTAGTAGGCGTGGCCAGCACTCTGGACATCCCCTTCGCTGGTGATTTCAGTCTTACATTCATAAGGAAGGCCCCTGCCTGGGGCAGGGCAGCCGTCGGCTTTGCCCCCGTAAAGTCTCTCCTTAGTGAGATAACGAACAGAACGAAACAAACCCACCCGCAGGGAAACAAGGGGGAAAGGGAAGAGAGAAAAGAAAGCATGAAAGCAAAGTGCTGGATGTCTGTGACTGTTCACCCTCAGCACCAAGACCGCTGGCCAGCAGCTCTGTACGGTCCCTAGCCACGCAGGCTGAGGGGCCCACTCCAGGAGCTGTTCCACCACAGCCAGACAACAGAAAACAAAAGTAGCTTTCTGATGGTGTTGAGTCGCCTTTTCCTGGGGACAAGCCGCCCGCCGAGACAGCAAGGAATGGTCAGTTCATCCACTTCCGGCAGTTCACCGCTCCGCAGTGGCATGGAATCTTGTGCTGGTCATCTTCAAAGTCGAACTTATAGTCATAGCAGAGCTGCCCGGGCAAAGACACAGCGTGAGATGCGGTACAGGGAGAGGGCCTTTCTCTCTCCCGCCATCTCCTGTGGCGTTCAGAGCCAGCAAGCACAGCAAGCCTTGAGGAAAGGAGCAGCCGTGCTGTAGCCCCAGGAGCCGCAGACACAGCAGAGATGACAGCTCCCTGCTTCCACAGGGTGGCCACACTCAGCCAAAGGCAACTAGAAAGGGGGAACTACTGAAGGGAAGGTGGGGACAGACCCCAGCCCCAGAAGGCTGCGCCACCCCTTGACCAGTGAGCGGCACCAGCCCTGTGGGGTGGAAGGAGTCTGCCACACCACAGACATCTGAAGGACGCTGCTCACCAGGGGTTACCAAAGTACTTCCGGCAGCTCAGACCACTGGCTGAGGTGGCACAAGTTTCCCAGCTTGAGTCTTGCTGTCCCCCCAGGCCAGGGACCCCAGTGATTTCCCGGCCATTCCTATCTCGAGTGCCCTAGGACTCAATCTGGAAAGATGGTCTGTACTGAGCAGTGTTCACTGCTCAGCTCCTCCCAACAGTGACACTGCCACCTGGCAGAGCAAGTGCTGGTCCAAGGAAGAGGCACAGTGGTGAGGGGAAAGGACCTGTCCAGGAGCCCTGCAGCCCACGCTGCCCCCCACACCTGCCTCACTGCTGCGTGCCTATGGGAGGGTGCAGGAATGCACTCGGGGCCTCTGTGCTGCGCTGCGCTGCGCCCTCAGCCCTTTTATTCCGAGATGGGAGTTTACTAAGTTGCCCGTGCTGCCCCAGCCTCAAGAGATGGCAGGTTCCAGGTGTGCGCCAAGTCAGACCAGATCATTAGTAAAACTCAGATTCCAAACAGATGCCCCAGTACACATGTGCCTTCCCAGCACATCCCCACAGCTGGCCTGGCAGGGCCAGGCCGCTGGCATGGAGGACACTCGGGTTCTCCCTCCCACGCAAAGGGGTTGGCCTGCATTTTCCAATAGACACCGTCCTGGATCAGAGACACCTGCATCATGGGCTGACCGTGCATGAGACAGAGTTGGCAGATATGACAGGGCTATGACAGGGCTAATGTCACTCTGTGAGACCACAGGGACAAAGGTCAAGTTCAGCATTCAGCATGATACCACGAGGAGAACTACCATGTGAGCCTGAGCTCCAGAGGGACCGTCAGTGTGAATAATGCACATCTGAAGCATCCGGGCCCCTGGACATGTGTTTGTGGCCTCCCCAGGGTTACCGCAGCCATTGCAACCCCAGGGACTGAAAGAACAGCCTCCCGTGGTTTGCACCTGAGTCCAACAATAGGTGTCTCCATGGAGACCAATGCCACACCAGCAGGTAAGCATAAGGTGGGCCTGTGACATGAGAAAATGCCACCAAGTGACAGAAGATGCTGGGCTCCTCAAACAGCAGAATGGTCGTGGTGGTGGTAGTGGAGGGGCACTGATGTACTTCAGAACTGCCACGACCATGTAGGTGGCACCTGGACCCCTGACAGATGAACAGGACAGAGTGGCCAAACATACTCACCACCACACTTTTTCTAGCAATGGAGAAAAGGACACAAGCTCAGGTGGCAGAAGGAGGACAGGGGTATGGAACAGGGAGGCCCCCTCCCCTCACCTCCTCTCCTTTCTGGATTCTCCGGTTGGAGCTGATGATAATCTTATGTCCTCTCTCGAAAGTCACCACTTCCGCCACACAGTTAGGTGCACAGGAATGGTTGATGTACCTGGAGACACCATGTGGTAGAGTTACTGTGAATCAACCTGAGGAACGTGCTGAGTGTCCTGTCTGTAGGAAGCGCTGTCTGCCAGCTACACTGCCACACCCGCTCTCCAAAGCAAGTGCGAGGACAGGCGAGGCAGGCTCAGGAATGCAGCTGCCCGCCGTGTCCCCCCAGCCAGGCTGCGGCAGTGTGTGCCGTTGTCCTTGCCTTCCCCCACCAGCATTGCCCACTCCCAGGGCACCCGCCTCACCTTGCAGGCCCTCCCGTGAGTGTCGCATCGATGACATGGTCATTGTCCATGCGGAACATGTACACGCCACGGTTCTAAAGAGAGTGGGAAGTCATCAGTAGGTGCCAGAAATGCCCTCTGCCTCACACCCGCAGCAGGAGCCAGGGCTCCCACTCACACTCCCTGGGGACATGGCCTGGCCTTCACAAGTGCCCAGCACCAAGGGGAGGCGTCAGTCTAGCCGGTCGTGTGTGAGTCAACAGTTACATCTATGCAAGCAACAACTGGAAAAAGAGAGGTGCAGGAAAGGGGTGAGCGGCCATCCGCACCATCCCAGCAGAGCCCACCTGGGACTCGTACAGCTTCTCCTTCCGGTTGGCGACTTCGTTCCGAATGATGGTCCCGATGTACTCGATGACCATGGTGTGCTTCTCAATGTCTCTAGCAGCATAAAGGCCCAGGCCCTGGAGGGGAGCAGGGGACACACAGTCCTGTAGCTTCTCTTCCTCACAAGAGCCTGCCAGCCCCTGGCTCACCTGAACCCAACGGATGCTTTCAGGGAGCACATTAGTTTTGAAATTTAAAAATCTGTCAATCTTGTGATTTAAGACTATGTCATTATTACTTATTCCTATGTCTTTTTATACTAAGTTCCTGAGTGTATCTATGGTTCCCACATATCTCCAAAGCCCAGGGGTATTACAGATCTGAGCCCCGATGCTGCAGTGCTGAGAGACCTCCTGGCATCGTGGATCACCAGCTACCACCATGCTCTCCTCTTTCCAAGCCAAGCACTCACCTGGATCCGAGACCGGGCCAGATACACATTAGATTTCCACTCGGTCTTCATTCGCCGGTACTGTGATGACTTAGAATGCACAAACTGCTTACTGTACGGTGCGTTCAGCTCTCCTGTCACTGTGCTCTGAAAGGACTTCGAGGTGCTGGTGCTATTCAAGGTGTGTGGCCTGCAGTGATGGCATAGGGACAGGAAACAAAAGGAGAACTGAAGATACTTCTGCACGGGGCTCTACCCCAGGCGGATGCAGTCTTCCTGACAGAAACACACAGAAAGCTGCCTAGCGGAGACACACGACCTGTGAGGTGGCTGGCACATACACAGCTGCACAGCAGGATTTGAAAGCGGCAGACAATCAAGCACGAAAACCACCAACAGGCCTAGAAACCCTGGGCTGTACTATGTGAAGTTAAAACAGAATACCTTAACACAAACCTCTTGACATGGGCACTCATTTTAGGTTCGGAACGGGCACAACCTGTAGGGTTGACAGCCAGCGGCAGCTCCATCAGAGGGTTCCGGCCATACCGGAAGGTGTAGTTTTCACACGCCTCAACCCCAGGGAGCTGAAAAGCAGCAAAACATGAGATAACTTACCTGACCGAGACCGGAGACCTCTGGAGCTGACTGGGGATAGTGCAAAGTGCGTTCACTGCTGAAATGTGTTCCTCTAGAACACAGGGTATTCAGTACCCCAGTGAAGCCGCCTGCACCCTCATCTCTGTGAGTGGAAGCGTGCAGGCTCTGGCAGTCCCTAGCAAATAAATGCTCCCAGAACAGAAAGGACCACGGTGAACTAGGCCCATGTCTCTGGAGAGTGTCATGTTCATGGCTTCTTTTTGGATCATTTCTCACATCTTTCAAATGTGACCATGACACTATGTGGTCATCACTCGCCATGTTGCAGGTATATAAATGCACAATAATGAGTACCTTAGGGTCTTTTCTACAATGTGTTTCTTGTGAGATGTATTTCTCCACAGACCTAAGAAATGCTTATCGTTCAGGCAGTACTGCCTATTCCAAAGGAAGCGATCAGAGTCCTTCAGCCTTCGCCCAGTGGCTTTGTGTTTTATTCCTGGGAATACTGGCCCAGAGCCCAAGGCTGTCAGAGGCCTGTGTACCTGTGGTCTGTTACTCACTGCTGAGCACGCTTACGCAGAGTCAGACCGTTACCAGGTGCTGCTGCTGCCCACTGGCTTCGGCAGACCCACTCACACCAGGAGGCGGCCAGAGAGAGGCCACAAGCACCCTGTGCTGGGGAAGGGCACCCGAGCGCTCGAAAGCACATAAGCAACACAGGAAGCCAGGGGGAAGTGGTGCGTCACCTGTCAGGTTCATGCACCTGGGCTGCGCTCAGCCTGGAGGGCTGTACACTGAGCGCTGAGCCAAGGCCCACACAGCACCTGTGCCTGTCTGCCTTGCAGACTTGGATCAGTCCCAGCAAAGTTTAAGTATTACGGTGCCAGGTGAAGATGTCACATGGGACTCGGGACAAATGCCATTATCAGATCTTGAGCAAGACACTCACTGATTCGGCTATCCGTGCCACTGCGGAGACGGTTAGGCCAAACAGGTCTTCTCCTTTTAAATACGCAGGGAAGAGCTGGAGCATTTCTGATTTTTTCCTCACACATGCAACAGGCTCCAAGATCTTATCCCAAACACCTACACATGGAGAAGAAAATAATTTTTACTATCAACTTGCTTTAGGCTAGAGAGAATAAGACACAGTACAAAACAGAGGCACCAGAATCATCTCTCTCAAAGACTTATAACTTTTCAAATAAAGTCTATATGCAAGAGCCAAACAACCTTGTGTATTAAGTGGCAGCCATTTATTCTTGAGAGCTTATGGGGGAAAATGATCCTACATTAAGGGTATCAAATGAAGTGAAAGCTTTAACTTAGTACAACAGAAATCCATGTAAATTAATTTGTCTTCCTACTGGTCACATGGCCTACTTGCTTTAAAAATGATTATTAGTCCAACCAGTGAGCTCTGCAGTCTTCTGAACCTCAGAGCTGTATTAAGATGGGAATATTTTTCTTTGGAAATATTTCTACAGGATTTTATGTATTTTTTTAAAACTTCAATTTTTAAATTTTTTATGGTTTGTTTAGACAGGGCCTCCCTTAGTAGTTCAGGTTGGCTTTGCACTGACCACGCAAACCTATATAGCCTAGGCTGGCCTCGAATTCACAGTGATCTTCTGGCTCAGCTTCCCAAAAACTGAGATCATAGGTGTGTATCCCCATGCCCGGATGAAAAAAAACTTTAAAAAGCAGCTTTTCCATACTTTCTGCATCAATAAAAATGACAGTGCAGACTTACCCTGGAGTTAAATTAAAAGTTTTAATTCCACCTTTGTACAGTATCTTACACTCATGAGAGGAGGCAGCTCACTGTGTTTCGCTAAGGGATGGTCCCTGCCTTCCACAAACTGGCAAAAAAGCCCCTCTACCCAGGTAAATGACAGTTGAGCTATAAATCATTCTTCTACAAATCAACTCATGTTCAAACACACATTGACTGTGAAACTGTATAGCACCTGGGCATGGTGATCCACACCTAGAGCCCCAGCTACTTGGGAGGCCGAGGTAGGAGAATCTGAAGTTCGAGGCCAGCATGGGCAACGTGGTGAGACTCTGTCTCGAAATAAAACTTTAAAAGGGGGTTATGGGCTTTCAGATGTATGTCAGGGGTAAACCACTTGCTGGGCATGTGCGAAGCCCTGGTTCAATCCCTAACACCTCAAAACACACACATATACATTCAGAAAGCACAGTATGAAGAGCAAGTTGTGGTAACACGAAGAAGCTAAGATTTACATTTGTAAATTAAAAAAACACAACCTGCTGTTATAAAATAGGAAATACACACAAGAAAACAAAACAGAACAGAAACACTGATTACACTGACTTAACCACACATAAGCTGCAGGTTTTACCTTTGGGTGACGTGTCACTTAAGACCAGGTCTTCATGGCCTTGCTCCACAATCCGGATGACAAACACCGGGCGCCCATCCTTCTCCTCGATGGAGCACAGGTATCGGCAGCGCCGGTTGGCGTAGCGTGTGCTCCAGTACAACCGGCTGGCCTCATAGCCCACAGGAAAGAGCGCCTTGGTGGAGTGGAATGCTTGCATCTGCTGTGGGAGCAGCTGGCCAATCGTGTGGAAGATGAGGCTTCCCACACGAAAGGTGTGGTCCCGTTCCCCTCGCTGCACGATGCTCGCGATCTGGCGCACCTCGTCTCGTTGAACATAAACCCTCCTAAAGACTGCAAAGTAACTTAGTTCTTGTTCGTGGATTCCCTTTGGTTTGTGCATGGGGCAAAGCATAGTTTTGTCCTTAAAAAACATGCATTGTGCTTTAATGGCGCAAGTAAAGTGATAAATGTTGGTGCACCGGAACCTATGACACCCACTGGTGGCACCTGTTTTATGACAGAAGACGCATTTCATCTGCAGGCCCCTCCTCAGTGCTAGCTCTACATTTATTAAGGCACCAGCCTGAGTCTCGTAGACTTCTGTGGACCACAGAGCACAGTTTAAGTGGACCCACAGATCCAAGTCCAGGTTGAGCAGCCTTGCTGGGCCATCTGTCAGCCCATCTCCTTCTTCATGACAAAAGCAACACTTGCGGTAGTCTCTGGGCACAGGGTCAGGTTTAAGAGAAGTGCCCAGTTTCTTAAGAAATTCATCTATTTCATCCTCACAGGGCGGCTTAAATGTCCCCTTGGGGATTACAATATGAATGCTCCACTTCTTCCATTTCATCCCTCTCCACTTTTTGGTCAGTGGCCTGCAATCATCCAAGCCACTGTGGACAGTCCTGAGCCGAGGCTTTAGCTTGACAGTCACCTTGAGCTCATCGGGCTTGGCCTCCACTTGGGCTGCCTCCAAGGCAGGAGGAAAGGCAATGGGAGGCGACGGAGGGGGAGAGGCCTTCTCCTGGAGCTGCGGGAGGCAGTGCACGTCCAGGGCAGAGATGTTGTTGCTGTATTGGTGAAATGCCCGGGAAGGCATCTCTCTCATAGGTGACTGTGGCAATGGAGGAAGAGATTCCTGCAAGCAGTAAAAAGAAATCGTAAAAAAGAAGAATCCTTCACACACCCTAAAAACAATTTCTGCCACACTGGGAAGCCAAGTAACATGGTTTAACCAGATATGTGACTTGTGGCATCAGGAAAGAGTCAAGACCTTAGTCAAGACCACCAGATGTGGTACTGCACACCTAAAACACCAGTCACTTGGGACACTGAAGCAGGAGCATCATAAATTTGAGGCCAGGGTGGGCAACTTAGCAAGGCTCCACCACAAAATAAAATATAAGGAGCTGGGGACATTGCTCAGTGGCAAGAGTGCTTGCATGAGTCCCTGGGTTTAGTCCTCAGTACAGATGGGAGGGAGAGAAGGAAGAAGGCAGGGAGAGAGGAGGTGGTGGGAAAGGAAGGAGGAGAGAGAAGGCAGCAGGGATGAGGCATAGAGATCCTGTTCCAGCTGTCAGGTATGCAAAGAGCACCTGGGTAACCCTATCTGCACAGTAGAACCCTGTTTTTCACCCCTGTTCTTCTCCATTTCCAACGAAGCCCAGAAAGCCAATGCTGTCTGAAGGCCAAGTTCACTTAATATGTACAACTGGTAGTGTTTGCTGAAACTACGGCGATGCCACCTTCACTCCTTGAAATTCTTATCTGTTCACCACAGGCTTGATCACTCTCTCAGTGAGCATTTCGCAAAGGGAGGGCCATGTCATGAGCAGATGCTGACCACTGCCTTGCCCGCATCCTCATGGACAATGGGACCACTCACTCAGATCCATCCTAACAGGTATCTGAGGAGCCAAACTGGGCAGTAACTATACACGCCTTGAGAATCTACCCATGAAAAGTCTTGGTCACCTGGGCTATGGCATTTTAAAGCTCACATCTATCTGCCAACTGGTACCATGAGGGACTGTAGCCTGTTAAAAATAAGGCATCTTTAGACAGTTTTTCTAGAAAGACACATTAATGAAATGATCGGGAAGAGGACCAATGGCAAATCACTCAACAGGAAAAACTTACTCCAAAACACTGAATTAAAAATGGGTTATCTGAGCCAGAAGTGGTGGCACACGCCTGTAACCTCAGCACTGCTGAGGCAGGAGGGTCACCTCGAGTTTGAGGCTGGCCTGGACTGTACAGTGAGACCCGTCTCAACAAACAAACAAAGCGAGTATCATCTGTATCAACTGCATACTAAGATATATTTAAACCATACAAAATTAAAGCAGCTTGAGGTGAACAAAATGTATTTTCTCTTAATGCATGAACAGACTGAAATTCTATTTTTGAACAGGTTTTCTTATTAAGAGCAATTTTAATTGTTAACTAAAATGTTTATATTAGTCAAGTTTAAGATTGTAATATTGGTATTCCATTTAACTCTGAACTTATAAAATGCATTCTGCAACTGATTGCCTACCACGATCAGAAACCTTCCTGAGTTTGGTAGAGGAGCATAGGCACAGCTATTTCTGACTGCTCTCTATCCACATGATCAGCCTTCCTTAGGAGCTTCCATGTGGAGTGTGCTGAGGCAGGGCACACATCTGTTTTATTCACTAGGGTGCACCCAGAGCACAGAAGTCACTCCATATACACAGTTGAGTTGAGATGTGCTAATTTACCTTGCTCTCTGGGTTTTTTGATTGTGCAGTTGAATAAAGAATAAAGCAATTATTACTACAAAAGACAATGTCTTTTTCCATCCTCTTGTTGCTCTCTCTGGAATCCTAAAAAACAAAGAGAAATGAGTGGGGAATCGTAACAAGTCACAGCACAGTAAAAACATCTACACACGTGACTTGGACAGTACGTTAAAATACAAGAAGGGCCCCTGCGTCATAGTAAGCAAGCACCTGTATCCCAAGAATTACCACAGTGCACAGAGCATTGTCCACCTTTCACTGCCTGAAGAAGGGTCAGGGCCCCTCTCCCAAATGATGGGATGAGGCTTCACGTCCAAGCCCTAGGACTAGAGCTGATCCCACCATCAGAAGTGGGCCGATCCTGCATTGTAAAAGACCCTCTGCTCCCTGACCAGGACACATTTTCTGGAGGTGGGGTTGGTTAGAAAGCAACAATGCTACCAGTACCTTGTTCATGAAAGCCAGATCTTTGAAAGATTTCCGCACACCACTTCCAAAAATAACCACTTTGCAGTGACAACACCACTGTGGTCTGAGTGCCGCTTTTCCTGCAGCACCATGGCTGGGATCCTTGTATCCGGGGAGACCTACAAGCAATCAACCAGTTAGTAATGATACAGGTGGTGCTGATATAACAATATTCGGTACTACAACATGACTCACTAATTTATATTATTCTTTAATTAATAAAGGCCTCTTCTAAGTGATGGCTACAAGGATCTGTTATGAAATAATGGGGTACCAAAAGAAATATGCCTATTCTTAACCTGTTGGGAAAACAATGCTAGTGAGAAACAATCTTATAAGAGTGGTCACCAATGAGTAGCAACAGTGAGTCTGAGAGCACAATGAACCAATAGGAAGAGATTATTGTTGCTCCAGAGTTACATGATCCTAAAACATTCTATGGAAGATCAGAAATGTGTGTAAGACTTAAAGAGTGAGACTTAGAACATCAAAGAGAAACAAGGAAAGATCCTGGCCCAAGGTAATGCAAATAAGGACACAGGAATTAGAAGGGGCATGGTGTGCTTAGAGAGTATCACTCACGCAAGGTGCAAAGAGAGAAGGAAGTGGGCAGGAAAAACAGTGACAGAAGGAGCTAGAAGCTAAGGTTTCAAAACTCCAACACAAATGATCCAAAGGGTTCAAAGGTGAGAACTGAGAAGCTGCTAGATTCTAGAAGAGAAAAGAGAAGAAAAGAGAAAGAAAAGAGGATCATGAGAGAATTGGTGAGAAAGGGATGAGTGAGAAAGTGGGGCTGTTCCCAAAACACTGTTGTGAGCCATTAGTGAGACATCACTGTAGCTTGAGGAAGGCAAGGGGAATCTTGGACTTAGGAGCATGAGAACCCCTAGGAGGCCTTGGGGGAGGTGGAACAAGGGGGACAGAGTGCACAGGAGAACAAGAAAACACGGTATATGCCGGTTAGCCAGCCTCTTCTGCTCTAGACGGAGCAGCCAGATAGTGGCCTGGGCTCAGGGATGCAACGGACAGAGCTGCTTAGGGTAGCAAGGCAGGCAGAATATTGCTTTCTGATACTTCCTGGCCAGCAACACGATAGGGCTTCCCAAAGCCAGGAAGGTCTCATCAGGCCACAGAAAATGGGACACCCAGAGGAGCTTGGGTTATCACGAGTCAAACATTAACACACTGCTCACTATTTGTTACAGATGAAACTGCAATTTCAAGAAGACGAAATTTAAGTCCTGAGTCAAGAATGGATTTGGGCTTAACGAAAAGGTTCCAGCTCACCACTGCTTGCAGGCGGAAATGGAACATTAGGCTGCTTCAGCCGGTACGAAGTAGCCAGCCTGGGAGGGTTTGCAGATCCTGGTGGAGGTCCACGAAGATGTAAATGCGGTCGGTACTCCAAGCCTGGGTTTACTCGGGGGCTGCTGACCAAACCCATGGTGGAACCCATGGGTGGAACATCTGGAGCACTACTAACTTCATAGCTGTTAGGGATTCGGACGTGAAGAAGGTCGGAAAATGCAGCCACGACACTGTTAATGTTCTAAAACGGAACAAATGCTCTGTTATCCGCCCAGGAGGCAAAGTGAGCCAGGGAAACGAAACAGGTAGGATAAATGCTGCCTGCATGACTGATAATGCACAGGGCAAGAAAACCCTGCAACTTTTATTTAGCCTTTGGAATTCGGAAACTTCTGGTTTAACAGGCAAATGCACAAATAAAGCCTTCACAACAAAACTCTGCAGCAAGAGATTCCCATTAACAGTAAATATTTGGGGCACATTCAGCTAGTCAGCTGTTTAATGTAAGGCAGGTGTAGACACAGCCACGTAGGCTGAGCTGATCCTGTCAGTTTTCAGGCCACAGACATTTAACCCAGCTCTCCCAAAGGTCTGAAACTGTGTATGAGGATGTACACATGTCGTTTGACTACTGGTTTCTGGGGATAACCACAATGTCCTGTCACTGTACCATGAGTTCCATCTGTAATGTCCTTGTAGACTTCAAAATATAAAAAAAATCCCCAGCAAATTAGTAGTGTTTCTGACATGAGCAAGTACTGCTCAAACATTTGTTGCACTTTTATAATTTATTTTGCCTTTTTTTTTTTTCCTATTTTATTTCTGTTTTTTTGCTGTGGTGATGGTGGTTGTTCTTTGAGACAGGGCCTTGTATGTATTTTAGCCTGGTCTTCAACTCACTATGTATCCTAGGCAAACTTTAAACTCCTAGTGATCCTCCTGCCTCAGCCTCCTGAGTGCTGGGATTACAGGTGTGCACTACCACACTGGCAATGCTTTTGATAATGTTCTTTCTCAGTAGTTAATTTTCAACAGGGTTACCAGTTATGAAACGTTTTCTCTCTAAATTTAGAGTTCTCTAACTACAAAAGCTAGTAAATACGGAGGAAAAGAGGGGCTGAAGGAGGGTAGGGGAATGGGAGAAAAAAAGCATCAAGATATATCATACAGGTGCAAATTCCCTACAGTGACTGTGATCCTGAAGTATACCTACAATGTACCAATAAATTTAGTTTTAAAAAGTTCTCCAAAATTAGTACAAATCCTTTGATAAGAACACGTGCATGCTAACTTCCTTTTCTATCTTGACTTAGGCCAAAATTAATCTCACGCTTAATGATAATATTCAAAAGCAGTCTCTGTATCCAAGTGCCTGTCCATCTGACCCCAAGTATCGCAGTCTCTGCTGCGCTGGTAGTCCCTGATGTTGCTTTAACAGCATGGCATACTCTGTAACACTAAGAAGTGATTTCATCTTTTACCTCAGCAGCGGTGGGATGCAGGGTAATCGCTACAGATATAAGACCCGATCTGGGACCGTTTGAGGATGAACCAAAAGGTGATGTGAAAAATAATGTGCCCGGCTCCGTTTTGATGTCATTCCTTCTTGATTCTGAACCTCAAAAAGGGGGGGAAAAAAGGCATGTTGATTGCCTTTCAAGGTCAAAATATATACATTAGTGCATTGGCAGACTGTAAGACTGTAAGACAAAGTGTTCTTACTCTTCCCAGTGGTGCTAGGAAGAATTGGAATGATGGGTGATGGCACTGGCTCTGGAGGCTCCTCTTTGACCACGGACAGATCTGGATACCTGCTCACTTCCACCCCAACCACACTCTCTGGAGAGGATGAGGGGACAAAGCTGTCAGGGGTATCTCGGTCACCACAGTGATCCTGTATCCTAGAAAAGGAACACACATATCATAGCATGCAAACCCACTGTAGGGACCTTGTGCAGCAACCATGTGAGTCCCACATCATTAATGAAAGTAGCAAACGAATCAGTTGGAGACGTCAGTAAATAGAAATCTCTTGGAGGAAATACAGTAATTAGGTTTAGCTAGAATATAAATGGTTATGTCTCTTATGATCAAAGCTTTAGCATCCAAGTTTAAAAGACCTACTAAAGTGGAAGCTGTTCGGCTCATAACTTAGCCTAGAAAGGATAAGTACTAACATTTCTGTAAAACCCCAGGCCACTGAGACTCAAACAGCCAAGGCCCTAGACAAACACCCAATGTCACATGTGCATGCAACTGACTGTGAGAACAGCTGTCCTATTGCTACTGCTTATAGTGAGTGGAAAAGATAGGGAAAACCTTGGTTATCATGGTTACCTAGACACTTGATTTTCTGCACTGATTTTAAAAGGTGAGAAAAAGCAGTCCCTTCTATCTAATCCAAGGCTCAAGTTTAATGGTGCAACGCTGGGGTCTCAGGCTAAAAGGTACAGATTACTCTTCCCAACTTGCTCATGCTGGTAAGAGTGTCCTGTGAAACCCAGGGGCGGAATGTACACCTGAGTTACGTCACCAAATGCACAATGAACAAGCTGCCTTCCACAGCTGCTGCAAAGAGCAATGCTCCCTACTGATGCAATGAGGATTCTCAGAGCAGTGAGCAGAGGAAAAGAGGCTTGGATTCCAAATCTGGAGTAGCTGCTTTTCAGTTTGGTCCAGAATTTTATCACTGATAAAATACAGGACTTAAGATTAAATGGTTGAAGCCAAGCGTGGTGGCTGACGCCTATAATCTCAGTACTCAGGAAGCTGAGTTCAAGACCAGCCTCGGCAACAAAGTGAGTTCAAGGCTAGCCTGAACTGCACAGCGAGACCCTGTCTCAAAAAGACAAAAAAAAAAAAAAAAATTAAATGGTTGAGCTCACCCCTGTAATCCCAGCACTCGGGAGGTTGAGGTGGGAGGATCATTCCAAGTTCAAGACCAGCCTGGGCTACAAAGTGAACTCAAAGCCAGCCTGAACTGCAGAGTGAGACCCCATCTCAAAAAAGACCAAAAAAAAAAAAAAAAAAGATTGAATGGTTATCTTATCAATAAGGATAGCAGGTTTTCCAAGGAGGAAATTCATACAAATTGGTTACAAAGTATCTGCACAGTAGTATCTTTCTTCCACAGTAGGACTCTGGTACCTGTGACTGCTGTACTTTTTTTTCTACACCCCATGAATTTTAGTAAACCCAATAAATCACACGTTCTTGAAGGACAATGATCTTCAAAATATTCTGCATGCAGATTTTCTATTGTCTTAATGTCTACTCAATTATCATCATGTGACTTGCTAAATTATATATATTTTTAAAGGTGCTGTTGCATTTAATAGTAGTGTTTTATTAAGAATATTACCAAATTTTACCTCTCAATGTTTTTATACACTACTCCTATATACATTATGCTAAATATATTTTAAAATTACTAAAAACTGTTTGAGAAAAAAGTAGTTTCTACCTTATTTCTTCGTGGTTATTATGAGGTGGTGTTGGAAGTGAAGCTGGAACATCCACTGTCTTGGGGCCCTGAGCAACAGCTCTGGCCAGCAAGTCATCCTGTGGCCTGAATGGCAGCGGAAATGGCTTTGGTCCGAGAGTCTTGGTAACTGAAAGCAGAAGTATGTTCAGTCAAAGATAGCAAGCAGGTAGAACTCTACAGTTCTCTACCACACACACCTAGCAGAGGTACATTCCTTAAAAGTGTCAAATGTGAAGGTTATCATCATACCTTCATGGCTCACCAACACTCCAGCTTTTCCAGCAAGTTCTTCAGTTGTTGCAAAACCATTTGCCATCTTCTGGCAAGCCATAGGAGGTGGTGTAGGAGGAAGAGAGGCAGGGGGTGTTGGAGGATTACTTAAGTTATTCTGCTGCAGGAGACCAAAAAATTTTAAATTATATGCTACGGAGCAAATATGCAATGACCTTGTAAAATCTAGTTCTGTGACTTTTTAGCACACGGAAGCAAGGCTACAGAAATGTAATCAAGAGGCATCTTCATTCCCAAATGTACACCAAAAAGAAAAATATACATACAAGGCGAGAAAGCTTTTAAAACAACTACTCATGACTTTGTCGGTGTATTATTACTCATTTGCTTACTTGACCCACTTTGAATACTTAGCTTTCAAATGAAAAGTCAAATACTGTTATGCAACTCTTCAAGTTTCACATTTGTAACAGCTATTGAAAAACAGCTTTAAAATGCAATCAAATGTGGTAAAAATTCTCTAAAATCCCTTTATCCAGTTCTCAGTAAGACAGTCCTCATTCTATGGAAAGGAATTTGTAGTCCTGACCCTGTAACTGCAGCTCGTGTCTCAGATACTAGAACCTGGATTGTCTAAGATGTCTAAGAGAAGTAAAAGGACCAACAGTAATACGAGAAGTAAATATACATATTAACAAATGCAGTTTCTTTGCAAACATCTCTTCTGGATTAAGATTTCTTGCCAATTTAGTATGGGTTTAGTCTCACAAAGGATGCTGGAATCTACTACTACCACTACACAAATCAAGTGCAAGGTGGAATTCCAAGTCTGCAAGGACAGAGGTTTCCTAAGAACAGTGACCTAAGACGGAAGCACAGCTTGCACTGAGATGAGTCCTAACTGAAAAACAGCTCACAAGAACAAAAAAAAAGGAACACAGAGAGAACTTTTTTAATATTAAAAGTCAGAAGAGAAGCCCTCAGGAAAACTGATGATACCCTCAAACACTTTGTAAAAATGAACTTTTTATGTAAGTCATATCTGAACTGAAGTGGTCTTATGATGCCATCACAAAACTTCGTTAGAAAAGTCACAAAAAGATAAACTTGATTTGGCTTTATACTATTTCCAATAGTCTAGGAATCTGTGCATATTGCAGTTAGTACCTACATCACTAAAACTTTTTAATGTCATTTTCAAGGTAAAAGCCTAATTCTATTTTTTCTTCCTGCAATTTACTATCAATTTGAGTAAGTTGTAAGAGTTAGTAAAGGTCATAAGGAAACATGTATATCTTCTATGATGGAAACATATAATGTGTATTTCTCATGATTTGTATGCTTCCCTATAGAGTCTCAAATGTTCAAGTTAGAAATTTTTCTCCAGGTAAAGCTTTAAGCTTTTAGCTAAACTACATTTTAGTGAGATTTGGAAGCTTAGATGTACATTAGATGCAAAAGACACCCAGAGACACAGCAATGGGACACCTGGCGATGCAACATACCTTGTAGATCAACTGAGAATAGTAGTCCGAAACCCCTTCAAGGGTAGCACTGCCAAAAGTTCCTAGAAGTCGATTCCCACTATTAAATTGGCCACTGCCATAAGGAAGAAAGTGCGCAAAGTTCACTCCAATGATTGGTTCCATTAGAGGGAGCAGAGAGAGCTGCTATTAAAAAACACATTTAAAAGTAATGTACATGATAAACAAAACTGTTTCTCAACTTCCTAAGACTTGAAGCAACTTAAACAAGATGTGAGAAAAACAAGACTTAAAACTTTCATGCATCAAAATGCTGGAGAGAGAAAGAGAAACTACAAAATCTCTTAAGCTATACTTCCCAGGAAGCTTCACTCCTGTTTGTCCTAAAGGGACACACCAGATGTCTCACAAGAAAAACACACTCCTTTCACTCTGCCTCTTTGCTTGGGAAGAACAAGATTCGTGCTGAGAGCAGGCACCACTGATGGCAATTAGGGACTACCTCTTCCTTTAGCAACAACACAAGGGTGCAAGAACAGAGTAGATGGGGAGGATCCTGTGGCTTCATTCCTTTGGATCCAGAGTCACAAGAAGTAGGGACAGAGTCTGTCCTGGTATGGAGGCTGCTCCTTTTAAACTTCTGTAAATCTGGACTACCATCTACCAACTCATTTATAGTATTATAAATTTCTGGTGTCAACAGGATAAGGCGCAATTTTGCTGAGAAATAGGAAGTCTATTATTAGGTTCTCTGTCCAGATGGACTTTGTCCCCTAACTTTCTAATCAAGAAATTAGTACAACAAAGATAAAGTTTCAGTTTTACAAGACTGAAGAAGCGCTCGCTCTTACTTCCTGTGAGTTTTAAAGGGGCTACTCTAAAAGACTTACCTGTTTCAAGTGGGTGAAGGAGTCAGAGTTGGGATACATCGGCTGTTTCTCCTCTTCATCCTTTTTCCTTTTCTTTGAGCGAGGTGCTGCTTTCTCTCCAGTTCTCTGAGTCCGTTTGTTTCGCTGTTTCTTGGTTTCACTTCCTCCATCCATTTTTGGCTGGTTGTTGCCACATCCAAAACCACCTTGCACATGAACCCCCAAAGTTTGCTAATACAATTGGAAAAGTTGAGAAATAAGTGAATATCACATGCTTGATTCTTATTTCATGCTAGAACAGGTCCATCCTGACTCTTTCCTATCAGGGTACCAAGGTTGAAAAGACATGCAGTACGAGACTCTTGATTATCTTCTGAAAATACTATCCTCCCTTTTCAGGCATTCTTTTCAAGCGCAGAAACCAATCAGCTGCAGGTTGAAGAAAGAATAGAGCTGCTAGGGATGAGCTTTACCCGGGAGCCATTGTACTTCTAGCACTGGAGCCTGGAGGCCCTGATTTCAGCTCCCCTGTGGAGGAGGCTATGTCTAGCAGGGATGTCTGTGCACATGGTTTTGGTGGTTTATTTTTGGTTCCCATAAGAATGAAAGCAGGCGAAATAGGACTGTTAAGTCAACTCACAGCTCTAGAACACCTCAGCCCATGCATTAGAGGCAAGAGAATAGCCATTTTCAGAAACTAATAAAAAGCCCACATTGTACCCTCAATTTAGCTCACAATCCCACATCTGACTTTAAATGTTCATGAACTTAAAGTCAGTAAGAGAGGAATAGATGACAAATGACATATCTTTTTTTTTTTTTTTACTTCTGTATTTATGGTCAAGAAGTGAGAGTAAGCTAGGCCCTGAAAAGACTTTAAAGGGCAGTGTTATACTAAAATACTATACTAAATACTAAAAATACAAGAACATTTTTCAGGTTTCATTTCTGAAGTTATTATCAATGTTTTACTAGATACAATTATAGCTTCTGAATCTACTATGTAGTCAATTCTGCACTGAATCTTTGGGGATTTTGAAAATTATATAGTTTCTAGTTACATGCTAAACTCACAGCATAGATGGCAGAAATGTATGTGAAAGGCAAAGACAGTAAAGATTTTAGCCCAACTAACCTTGTATCATAAAAGTTGCCAGACAATTTTTGGATGATCTTGGTTGCACTAAAATTTATAGACAAATTTCAACTTCATATAATTTTCACTGCTACAAGATACTACTCTTCTTTAAATTTTTTGAACCATTAAAAAGTGCAAAAACCATTCTTAGCTCACACAAAGAAGGAAGAGGGAGGCAGGCTCAGGCTTGCTTTTCCAAGATCAGGTCCCAGAGTAGTTGCACCCAGGGACTGATAAGCAGCATCACTGCTTAGGCCACACCTGAGACCTACTGAACAGATTTGGGAGGTGCCCCTAAATGAAGCTGGAACCTGCTCAGCAGGTGGGCACAGTTTCACAGCAGTGTCCCCAACTTCCTGTGCATATGAATCACTTGGGGTCTGGCTGTGCTACAAGCCCTACTTTCTGATCCTGATCTGTTCAGATCTTGATCTGGCAGGTCTCTAGATCCTGCATTCATCCCCCCACCCCCATTCTGCATTTCTTAAAACCCTCCCACCTGAGGCTACTGGGCCCCATGACTGCACTTTGAATAGGAAAAGCCTAAGAATCCTGCAATTGGCTTATAATGAGGCAGCTGAGTGAGTATGGGTCAAGGACTTTAACTGCTTTACAAATTCTACTTTTAATTCTTACTGGTATCCTAAAAGACACATGTAATTACAGTTCAAAGAGGACTTCATCATAGAAAAGCATAAAAGCTTAAAAATCTGCCACAGACAAAAAGTTAACCTTTGAATGTATCTCTTTTCAATTATTTCAATCTATGCCTACATACATTATTTAAAAAAACCCAAGAGAGCACAACCTGGTATTCTTCCATTTTGGTGTCGGCTGTCTCTCTATGCTAGTGGACACTCTTGTACAGCACACATTTCAGTGGTAAGAAGTTGAGATAAGTCTGTCCTCTGTGGAGCCTTGTGAGCAGTGCTGTGAGTGCATGGTATCAGTATGTATTCTGAACTGGCAGAGCTGAGGAAGAAACCTAGAGAACTAATTGTGGAACTGAGTTTTACAAGACAAAGATACTGGCCAGAAAAGGCAATAAGCGCAGGGAAAAACCACAGCATACAGCTGTGTGCGGAATGGTGAAAACAGAGACCCTCCGGGGGCTGCGAACTGTTCCCAATTTCTAGGACAAAAGCTGCTCTGCATAAAGCGGCCAGAGATTGGTCTGGATAGATGAGCGGTATGCTAGTGACAAGCATGACTGGAAAAGCAAAATACCCAAATTTACAAAAGTGATACAGATCTACTCGGGTCAAGGCTCTATCTCTACAGAATGAGCAGAGACAAGATTGTGTCAATCAATACCTGCAAAATGAGGCTTCCCAGATAATCTTAAAATTCCAAATCTGGTTAACTAAGTACACTACTCCTGTTCAATAAATATGAAATGAAAAAATTCCAGTCTGAGAAGCACCCTAAGGAAAGCTTTACAAAAGTACAAGCAATGGCTCTGAACCTTTTTAAAGATAAGCACACAGAAGTTAGCTAGCAGACCAATTCCCAGGATCCAGAAACCTATTTTTTTTGGTCTTTTTCATTTTTATCGGTACCAGGGATCGAACTCACGACTGCCTGCTTGCAAGGCAGGTGCTTATGCCGCTGAGCTAAATCCCCAGCCCCAGAAACCTATTTTTAAAACACCTTAATGAAGTTGGTTGAAATGATTTTGGGAGAAGGGAATTTTTGTGACAGTATACTCACAAGTAAGCTTTTCATACACATGAAAAAGTAAAAGACAAATCCAATGTTGACAATTTAAAATGAATAGACTATCCATACACAGAAAACTACCAAGATGAAGTATTATTTACATGTAAGGTTACCTTTTTTGTAACATTAAGTATCCACACTTTGAGAGATCCACATATTAACAGATTCCTAGTGGAGATGACTCCCTCAAGGGTATTAACAGGGGTGCAGAATGATCTTGTATATTTCAAAGAGATTAATGGAAATGCACATTTATTTTCAATAAAGGTAAATGCAACATTTACCTCCTCTGCTTTGGATAGATCAAAGCAGTGCGGTAACTTCTTAAAAGGCACACATTACATGTGAATTGCAGTAACATGTTTTTTTAAATCAGTAAACAAATTATTAATATGGTGTATGGATGTAAGTAGGAATATGGGCCTCATGGAGAAATAAGCAACAAAATAAAAATGCTTCCTTAGAGTAAAAAGAATGCAAAATAGTTTTAAACCAATGAAGTTGTTGGTATCAATCTGCTGTAAGTACAATTTAAAATGAAAAAAGGACCTTGAAGTTTCTATGATTTGCACTTACCATTCTTTCTTCTGGGTTCTGTTTCTCAGCTGTTTTACTATCCTTTGTGCAGTTGTCTTCTGAACAGAAACTGCCCTCAGATCTTTGATTTAAAAGGGAAGAGGACTTTTTATTTTTCAATAGGTGTTTCAAAAGTTCATTCCCTAAATCTGCTTTGGTGACAGGGGCCCCAACAGAATCAAGAGGACTCTGGACTGAGGAGACAGGACTGGCCTCAGATTTATCTTGAGCCTTGCAACCAGTCTGCTCCTCTGATTCAGTCTCCTCCTGACCCAGGCCTGACTCTGTCTCAGTGTTTTCCAGTTTTAGCTCTTCATTTTTGGCAGGCATTTCCATGGGGAGGGTTTTTGCCTCTGAATTTGCACAAGCCTCCTGATTTGGAGTTTCCAGGGATAAATCAGCACTGGGAAGTGTGTTCTCTAAGTCTGTACCAGGCTGGCCAGCTGGCTCCGCAGGCTCTGGCTCACTCTGTGGAGGAGGGTCATTGGGCGTGTTGACGGTAGGGGTGGAGGTAGTTTCTGAGATGCTTGGAGTCAGGGGAGCAGTTATATCTGAGTGGGGAGTTAATGGTGCTTTGGTGGATTCCACATCATCCTCTTTTTTCTTCTTTCTTGTTCTTTTCTTTTTCCCTTTTTCTTCTGGGATAATATCAGAATACAACTGAATGAGAGACTGGGATGATCCATAACTCTGTCCATGGGCTACTGCAAGGTCTTGGCCACATGGGAGACTGCTGTTAGCTACTGGTGATGTTGTTGGTAAAGCAGGTGCAAATGGAGGTCTTAAAGGAGACTGTTGGAAACTTGTCCCAGAAAGATTTCCATGTCCCTGTTTAGCAGAATGAAAGTTTGGGCTTCCACTAGGGACAGACGATGAATCAGGAATGAAGGAGGTAAGTGCTCCCTGCCTTCTGTCATTTGTTTGCATGAATGTTTGGGTGGGGGATGAATTAACAGATCCTTGTTGTACATTTTGCTGCTGTAAAACTAGGGCCATCTGTTGTTGGTGCTGTGGCGACTGCTGAAGGGGTCGTGGAGGCTGCATAAAATCACAAGGCCGATCAGATCCATAGAATGGAATCTGAGACACAGGAGTCCTGTTGCCCACCTCAGAGCCTATCAGACCATGCTGCTCCATTTCCATCCTCTGCTGCAGAGCTCGCTGCCTGTCGACTTCGTGCATCAGCTGGATGCGTTGTCTTTCTTGCTGTTCTCGTAAACGTTCCTTCCGTTCCCGTTCCTGGAAACTCTCACTAAAGGGGTTGTTGTCATCAAATTCTACTCGTGGTGGTGGACCACTCTGTGGATTTGCATTTGACACTGTCCCTGTGGTTGGTGTGCAAGCTTTTACGGGTAACTGAGCCATTGGGGGCTGAATCCTGGGAGGGTTGAGGGGGAGGTGAGCAGGAGCACTGGCAGACTGCCATCCAGGTAAACCAGGCATTCTAGCTGGGCTGTTGTGGCCAGAGAGGGCTGCTGTGTGCTGCTGGTGCTGCAGCTGCTGTGGCACCATTGGGAAGCTAGGCTGATTTATGGCAGGCGGAGTGGCACCTGGAAGGCGGGGCGGCTGGGGCTGGATGCCAGGCATTAAGAGAGGCGGGGCCATTGCACGCTGCTGCTGCTGCTGCTGCTGCTGCTGCTGCTGCTGCTGCTGCTGCTTGATTCGATAATCTTCAATCAACTCAGCATGCTCTTTCTGTTGTTTACGAATCTGAAACAATGACATTACTTGTTTATATACAACATAGTATCAACCCAAAAGTGTGGCTAATGCTTTCGGTGGAGGTTATACAGAAAGCAGTTTAGCTTTAGTACTGTAGAGGAAAAAATACTTTGAGGCAGTAGCAAAAATTACAAAAAAATGAGTTGATGAGTTTTAATTTTTAATTTTAAGGACTTAAAAAGAGTAAATGTAAAAACTCTTCATATGAAATACCAAAAACTCCCAAAACAATTTTCTCAAGAAACGTTCCTTCGTTCCTGTTCCTGGAAACTCTCACTAAAGGGGTTGTCACCAAATTTGACTTGTGGTGGTGGACCACTCTGTGGGTTTGCAGTTGACACATGGTTAGGGATGAGCAGACATATCACCTGACTGCAGAACGGCCCACCCATTTCACACAGTGGTGACAACACATCTTTCCACCCTTGTAGACCGGATTAAGCAAGACAGGGCGTGTGGTGTTTTTCCAGAGTGGTCACCACACGGGGACACTCTACTTTACTGAGCCAATCTACTCCGAACCTTCTGCCTCCCTTTTCCATTACATGGGGTTCCTTTTTAATTTAAAAATTCTAATTGACAAAGGCAAAGTGTAATATTTGATGCACAGCTCTATGAGCTTTCACACACACGGAAATCAGTGTAGTGACTACTGACAAGAAAGACAAGCATTACTATCACCCTTTGTGTCATTCTTTGTAGTCAAATCTTTCTCCTTCTAACCTTTGGCCTTCAATAATTTATTCTTCCTTATTAGCTGTCATCTCAAGACTGTGATGTAAACAGAATCCATATACAAACCTTTCAGGATTGGCTTCTTTTACTCAGCAAAATGTGCTTGGGATCCAAGTTATCTACACGTATCAATTGTTCTTTCATTCTTTCTGGCTGTATAGTACTCTCTGTACAGGTACACCACTTTCTTTTGTAGGGTGGGAGGTTGTTTTTGACATGGAGTCTTGCTATATTTTCTAGTGTGGGCCTACACTTATGGGCTCAAAAAAAAAATTCTTCCAATTTCAGCCTCCCCCGTGGCTGGGACTATAGTTCTAGTTTTCGATGACGAGGACTGAAATTGCTGTAAACATTCATGTACAGGTTTTACAGGAATCTAAGTTTTTCATTCACTTGAGTAATTCCTAGGAGTGTGCTCTGAACCCATTTTGAACACTGCTTTATTTTCAAGAGAACTTTAAAATGTTCTTTTTCAATATAATTATTTAGTTTGAACATTCTGAGAAACATCTGGTACTGTATACAGTGGATGGTAACAAAATGGTTGCACTTTTCAGGAATGAGTCCTTGATATAAGACATACTAACACATTGTATGGTCAAAATAGTAAGCAATCTTAGACAAGCCAGACTTTCAAATGGCTTGGCACCACAGACTTTGCAGCAATTTCTTAGTGTAGAGGAAATATGTGAATTTCTCCTACAATAGCAGGGTTGCTGAAGAATATGACTATTGTTCTCCTAAGTCAGGCTTATGAGACTCAATTCCTTTGGTGGCCTCCAGAAAGTTAAGTGCCTGATCACCACTTGGAAGACAACTGGAGTGTAACCTCTTCAGTCCTGCGAACAGCCCACTTCTGCATGCCACGTAATGCTGACCAAACTCTTGCGTCCTTAGGGAGTGACACACCAAACATCTCCTCAACTGCTGACTGCTTACACAGCCATCTCTTACCTGTTCTAGCTGTTTCTGAACCATGCTCTGCTGCTCAGTCACATGCTTAAGTTGCTCTGCATCTTCTTCTGGGAATTCTCGCCCTGCCTTCTTGGCAGTGCGCTGTTTAGCGGAAAGGGCCTTCTTGGATTTTCTGTGTGCACCAATCTGCTCTTCAAGATACTTCTGCTGCATCTGAAGAAGTTGCTGGGTCTCTTGAAGCCATTCTTCATACTGCTTGCGTTGTGAGTCATCTGAAGGGGAAAAAAATCAAAAATTCATCTGTGTTAATTTTCCAAATGGTCTGAGATTATTACAGAAATCCATTTTGTAACACAATACAATTTCACAATGATGTTTAATAGAAAATTTGAAAGCAAAATTCTAAACATCACATATATATAACTATAAAGAAGCACATTTTTTAAAAAAGTGTTAATTAAGAAAGCCAGGGAATACATACTTAAGACACTAGTTACCTTAACACTTATAAATACTAAAACTTCAATCTTTGAGAAGCAGAAGACTTTTCTAATGAAGTATTTTTATATCTACAGAACTATCAAATTCTCTAACCCACAAGCCAAAGTATATATTAAGTTATATGTGTACTTTATTATATCCACTTTACAGATTTTAAGGAGAGAAAATAAGGCCTATCTGGTCCAGAGCATGGATTGGGTAATCATTTCCCATGCTAATTTCCCTCAGTTTATAAGGCTTTCCCAATTTCTCACTAAAGAAAAACAAAAAGTAAAAAACGAAATGGAGGGAACCCAGAACATATTAGAAAGAATCAATTTGAAGTCTGGAAATCATAAGGCAAATCTGTAAATTGAAAGATTGGTAACTTTAATTAATTTTGTAATTTATATTTCTATAAACAAGGGGAGGGGACAGAATCCAATAAAATCTTTTCTACTTCTACGACTGCTACTACATCTCCCCAGCCGCATCTCGTCTCATACCAACTTCCCCTCTTTTTTTCCTAAGGGCACTTTACTCCACTGATGCCAAGTCCAAGAAAAAGTCTCTCATATAGTGAAAAATTCAGAGTATTCCTTTCTGACTCACTACAAGACAAAGAAATCAATAAATACAATCCTAGAAGGACATTAGCTGAAAATAACATCAATGATAACAGAATATTGTCATACATTAAGAATCCGATCAAAGCCAATGGGCACAATTAAGCCAGAAAAAGCCAGTTGGTTAGAAAAGTTTATTTATTTTAAATGCACATATGTATTCAAATTATAATCATAATTAATGCAGGGGAATTTCAAAAGGTTAGACTTTGGGTTTGTTCCTAAACCCAGAAGTTGCAGTACATGTTTGAACTTGAAATCTAATCTACTAAATTTGAAGGGCATTTTTCAAGAACAGGCTTTTTCACAAGTTTTCAGAAGTTCTGCTTCTGGTAGAATGAGACCTACCGCAAGGAAAGCCTTTCTGGTTTCTGGAACCAGGAGAGCAGAGGTGAGCAAAATGAAAGATAACGGTGAAAAAGTTAGCTAAACAGTCTGAAGATTTCAGAAAGGTTCAGTTTGGGGAGAACTTTAAATACTATCCTGAGCCAGCTTGGGACCCCTGAGGATAACCAGAAAGGACTCAGTGGCATATCCTGCACACTTGACCTTCACATCATGCTGCAAACCCAACTCCTTTTATTTCCCTTTGATTTTCCCATCTGGTGTCCTTGTCACCAAGATCGTCACAAGAGCAAAAAGTGGTCTGATTCTATAGATTGTAAAGTGCCCAATCTATAAACAAAAACAACTATAGTACTGAAGAGAATGGGGAAGATGAATTTTCTGTATTAAAGTACAGATCTCTAATTCTTCATGCAGAGCAAAAAGAAGCAATGACAATACATGCCTTCAAGAAAAGCTGCCTACCAGGGCAGTGACACTTGATGGGAGAGGGCACTCAGGCCTAAGGCAGCACTCCTAAACTAGCTACGAGTGCACAGAACAACACAAGTACAGCCAAATAGCAATCCCCAGAAAACAGGTAACTTATTAGATTTATACTTACTGACAAAGCCTGGACCAAAATTTGGAGGATTAGGCCTAGAAATCTGATGTGTTATACTGCCATCCTAAAATAAGTAAAATTTATAAACATGTTTAATTCCACACTCCAGTTAAGGGAGAAAAATAATTTTAAAAGAAGCAAAGCAAAAAAGAAATAGGAAAAAACTTTAATCAAATATTGACTTTATAAAGAGACTAAGTGAATTAGTGGATTGATAATCTAATTCATGACAATTCATTTCTATCTCTAAACTAGATTTTAGATGAAAAACATGTATGCTTGAGATAAAGAATTATTCATCTACAATAAGTCAAATCAAATACTGTTAACACTAACCTAGAGGTGAAGAGTTGTGAATCACACAATTCCTTGACAATCTCTTGTTAAAAATTATTTTGAAAAGCAGTTTACCACTTGTTACAAGTTCTGCTAGACATAACCTGCACCCAAGGTATCAATTACAATACTATCAGCCAGCAGGGCATGGTGGCACAGCCCTACAAATCCCAGCACTTGGGAGGCTGAGGCAACAGTACCGCTGATTGCTAGCCTGAGCCTGAACTACATAAGGAGACTTGGTCTCAAAAACAAACCAACAAACAAAAAACTAGTACACAGAATACACTGTGCAGTCTATGTAATACTGCAGCCACTGGTGCAATACCAGGCTAATCAGAAAACAGTGGTTGAAGAACTTGCCCAAAGTGGCATAGTACATTCACAGGAGAACTGGAATTTTTTAAAGAACACTATACGTTTCCCAGTGTGTCAAACGATGCCTCTCTTTAAGCATTATGTCTAAAGTTTAACTGGCAGAGTAAAAGAAAATTTCAAAAAAGATATATAGGAAGTAGCACTTTATTCTAGGAAGATATTTTTTAAAAAATCATTACAGAAATATATGAAAAGAGCATTTCTATTTTCCTAGACATCACTTAATACAAAGAATATAGCATATTAGCACTGCTTATAAATGGTGAATATTCAAAAAACTAAGTTATGCCAAATAATAAGCAGAATATGACTACACATATCTAAATAGTAACTATAGACATTATTTTCTATTGAGTCTGGCAGTTTAATGAATTAATTTCAAACTACAGAACATGAAATGTCTTTCTGGAGGATGGATGGATGGATGAATGAATGAATGAATGAATGAATAAAAGAAAGAAAGAAAAACCAGAAGCCTTAAGCATTTGGTTTCCTCCAAGTGACTTTCTACCTTTAAGTGCACAGGTCATTTTCAGGAATTATAGCCAATTTTTTTTTTGCACAGGTCATTTTCAGGAATTATAGCCAATTTTTTTTTAGCTTCAGTTTGCCTCCTGTTTATTTCATTTCATTTTCTGGTACTGGGGATCAAACTCATGACCACATGCTTGCAAGGCAAGCGCTTATGCTGCTGAGCTAAATCCCTGGCTCCTGCCCTTTGTTTAAAAAGCAGTAAAACATCTTTACTTCTGCTGCACTGACAGCATACTGTGGCAAGCTCCTGGGGCTGCTGTTCCTTCCTGTAAGGGGCCTCCCTACAAGACTGGTTGGTGGGAAACAGGACAGCATGCCCCAGGGTGACTGACAGGAGCAGTGTTACCTGAGTGACAGTCTGCGGCATGGGTGTCTGGCCTTCACTGTTCTGTGCTCCGGCTGTTGCTGGGCCCATGAAGGGGAATCTGTGAGATAAAAAAGCCCAGAGTATCAGATGGTGACCATGTACACAAAATGATTAGACACGAATGATTTTCTCTTCCAGCGAAGAGACTAGTAGTAGCAGTGGCAAGGCCCTCCTTATCAAGAGCAGTCTTTACAGCCCACTCTCCTTCCCAGCAGCCTTACCCCTCCTCCCTCCATGAAGTGCAGCCTTCATGCCTGCTGGCACACCATTCACCTGGGAGGACAGAGAGGTTCAGAGGGATTAAGTAATTCCCTCACAAGAACCAACGCAAGGCTATGAGGAGAAGTCACTTAAGCTAACTTGAGAGGCTGGATTCTTTACCTAGCTTTAAAGTGAAATACTTCAAGTCTCTAGGCTAAAAAACAATAGTGAGATTTAACTTTATTATATAAATTAAAGAAATCTGAAGCTTAGCTCTTTTAGTTCTAAAAGCAAAAGACGTAACTCAAGAAGTCACATACATCTTTATATATAATAATAAAGCAAAATCTAAATTGGTGACTGACCTAGCTGTATGGTTAAAACTACTTGCTAAGTTTTTAATATGTTTTGCTGTACATTTTTAATAATGTTTTGTGCTTTAACGTTTTTCTTATGCATGGTTATGAGTCATTTATTACCCTGCTGTTGCTATACCTCTGGTCTGGAACTGCTGTATTTCAATCCAGATGCTGCTCACTATCGGTCTCAGAAGGGACTATCACTACCTCTTCAATGACACACTCGGGGGCCCTCAAAGGACCGATACACCAGTATACATCTGACAGCAAGGTATATGCCCTACGAGTATCAGGTGCTGGGAGCCTTCTCTTGTGTCTTTACAAGATATGATAAAAATTATATTCATAGTATCTGCTGAGTACTGTCTAACATAAAGGTAGGCTTGTAAAAACTCACATTTATTAAAAAACTCAACATAATTAGGTTAAATTTAGGATTCATGCTTACTGCATAGACCAAGGTTCTCACATAATTTACCTAAGAATCATTCATGATGCTCCCTAAAAAATACAGATATGCAGGCACCATTCCTACATGTTTTGATTTAGTAAGTCTCTAATAGAGCTAAGAAATATGCATTTTAAAAAATGAACACACAATTCTACAATCTAAACTGAAGAAACACTTTCTTGTGGTTGATGTTCTTAGGAGTCATAAGTTCTTTAATTTCATAATTACTAGTACCTCTTATACCCTTCTTTAATGTGTTTTCCCCCTGCTTGGTGTGAAGACTTATAAATTCTCCACCTCCTACCATCCAGCTGTCACTTTATCTACTTCTATTAACTTTATTTTCTGATACAAAATCAGTTTGGGGAGAATCAGCCATGCTAGGACTTGGAGGACCAACCAAGAAATCAAGCCTGGGACCAGAGGTCTGGGCATCTCTTGGGAGGATGACAGGATGCAATTTAGCAAATATGAGGGATTTCCTTCTCTCTTGTCTTTGAAGGCCAATACTGTTTTCACTGTTTTGCTTTGTTTTATTCAATATTCTGTTTTGACTGGTTTTATAGTATTCTGTTTTTGGTTTGATTTTGTTACACCTGATGGAATAGACAACTATTGTGAAGATAACAAGATATACTATGGTAGCTACTGTTTTCCTGGTATTCTGCTCTGAAGTTCCGTACCAATTCTGCTGCACTGTCTTGATTTGTTCTGTCTTGTTTTGCTGGATTTTACAATCTTCAAAATAAAAAAATTTAAAAGCAAAAACAAAACTAAAAATCAGTTTGGGGATATTTTATTTTAGAAATGAATTCAGTTGCCTTAGTCACTTAATCTCTTAACAGTAACGATTCTTTTATTTTTGAACCAGGGATTAAATGCACGACCTTGACCTTGTGCTTACCAAGCAAGTGCTTGAGCCACCGAGCTAAATCCCCAGCCCAACATTTAACAATTCTGAAAAGAAAAGAAAAGAAAAGAAAAGAAAAGAAAAGAAAAGAAAAGAAAAGAAAAGAAAAGAATGCACTTACATGTCTACTCCTGATTGGAATACTTATATGCACTTACACGTTACTACCTTCTGATGGTGTTTTTTTTTTTTTTGTTTGTTTGTTTTTTTCCTTTTTATCAGTACTGGGGATCGAACTCACGACTGCCTGCTTGCAAGGCAGGCACTTATGCTGATGAGCTAAATCCCCAGCCCCTTCGATGGTGTTTTATTGAGCTTACTTTTACTTCATGAAAATTAACTCCTTACATGCGTGTCACACTTAACATTTGATTATATCTGATACCACAACCAATTTCACTTTCTATGTTTGGCTAGAATACAGGTCCTCATGTTTCTGTGAGCTCTAGGAGCGGTAATACACACACATGTCTGTACCCACAATGAACGTGCCCACCCACCTGCTCATCACCATGGGCGGCATGCCCAGGTTGTTCTGTGCCATCACTTTATTGATGCCTTTAAGGGCCACCATTTTGGCTTTCATGATAGGATCTGTAATTGCATCAAAATCTGAAGAGAAAACATATTTTAAAGTTACTTATCTCATCATACTTGGCTCATAGTACACTAGTGTATAGGTGGATCACAAATATAATTTCCTAACTTACATTTCATTATTCAATAATCATTACATGTACATTATTCTACTACATAAGGGAATTGTGAGATGGAAACAATCTTATCCTACATTTAATCTCAACAGTTCATAACTGAAGCAGGCTTTAATACTCAGTCTTGAAAAATTAAAATAAAAGGTCTCCCTTCCACTCAAATTTATGCAATGCTAATGGAAATAGTTTCTTCAGCAATGTAATGGCAGGAATGAGATTCTGTAGTTATTCCCAATACTTAGGAATTTCACTAAATTAGGTTTTTTTGTTTTTGTTTTTGTTTTTGCAGGAGAGTCCTTTTGAGACAGGGTCTCACTATGCAGTTCAGGCTGTCCTTAAGCTCACTTTGTAGCCCAGGCTGGTTCTGAACTTACAACATTCTTCCTGCCTCAGCCTCCCAAGTGCTGGCATACAGGTATGTGCCACCATACCTAGCTACCTAGCTCACGCATTAAGTGAAAAGTTACCAAAGTTTTGAGGTATAACCTCACAAAGGTACTGAGAAACCACCTTGGCATACAAGTGGGGAAAAAGATCAGTATGATAAAACTGGTAACATATAGAACATAACATTACTTCACTTGAAAGACAGCATTCCTCACAGGTGCCTTCTGTTAATTCCTATATTCAGAGGCATTGAGGAGTTGTGACTGCATAGCTTTAGTGGTTGCTTTTAAAATATAAGAGACTTGCATGGAAAAACATGCCAAATATTTGCTATACACAAAAAGACAGCAAGAAGTTTTACTTCAATAAAAATTTTCTTAAATTTATCTTTTCATGACTGAAAATAGAAACAAATCATTGCTAAAAGTAAAATGAAGGATCTATATTTCTATTAAATGATAGCAAATAATGGAATTGGATGAATTTTACAGCTTAGTTTTGAATCTCCTAATTTACCTAGAAGAAATCTAAAACTCAATGTAAAGTTCCAGGAGGAACAGAAATATCCTATCAGTGCACTATTCCAAAAATATGTTAAATAATGAACTGTTACAAGCACATCACATGTCACCATCAGGGTCATAGTACTCTGTTAGAGACCCAGGAAGGGAATTCCTACCAATATTGGGGAAGAATGGCTCTGATCGCTGACGAATCATGGCTTGCATCTGTCTTTGCTGCTGCTGTTCTTGCCTTTCTTGATCCAAAAGATCTTGTAGCAGCAGTGGCTGCTCTTCCAAAAGGAGAGGCCGTTCTCTATTCTGATGGCCTAATGTTTGAGGCATCATCAGCTGTTGGGATCCAGATATGGCACTGGAACCAGACTGACTTGTGACAGGGGCACACTGATTTGTAGGCTTTCCTTTCCCCAAACTGTGGTTAACTGTTGACTGTCCCTGAATGAATCCTGGATTTACCTGCACACCCTGAGAAAAAGTATGGTTTACCCTGGAGACTACTGTGACATTAGAATTCATGGCATTGTCCAAAACAGGGCCAGGTGGTGCCATTAAAGCAGAAGGCAAACTCGATACATGGTTGGATGGTGAGGCTGGCACAGTTGGTGGGGGAGATCCCAAGGACCTGTTGTCTGAACTGTCAGATTTTTCACTGGCAAGTAAGCTTGAGAGGACTGGAGTTGATCCAGTTATGTCACAAGAGTTCACTATATCTTGAGCAGCCAGTGGAGTGGATCCTTGAATGATACTTGCACTAGAATCATCAGTTTCTCTATTAGCTCTTTTCTCAAGTAGCTCTGGTTCACAAGGTGGCAAACAAGCCTTTTCCCCATCACTTAGGTCTGTGTGAGCAGAAGCCTGAGTGCAAGGAGGCTCAACATGATCTCCAATCTCATCACTTTTCTCATTTTTTTCAGTTTCACATTTGGCTTCTTCTTTAGAATCTGGAGACAGGACTTCTGTTTTTATCTCACTGACAATGTTGGATTTTTTCTGTGGCAAATGATTCTCAGACAGAACCACAATTTTGTCTTCTTGCTCTTTTTGGGGGGGTTCAACAGACACACACTGATTATCTAACTTATCATCAATTGGAACATTAAGGTCAAGTTCCTCATTAAACATACTTTTCTTGTCTCCCAGGTCAAGCTCTGGATCTGTGTATGCAATGATATCAAACTCTCCTGACCTTAAGAGGTCATCTAGGTTAGGATCATTGGTTTCTAAATTATCTAAAGTATCTAACTCATCTCCCTTGCCATCCTCTGTGTCTAAATTTAAATTTTCAAGATCTTCATCATCCAAATCTTTGACTTCAACCCCCTCAAGGTCTTTAACATCCAGGTCTTTCACAGAAGGGTCATCAGAGTCCAGCTTTTCTTCCAGACTATCAGAAGCCTGGCTGGTTATCTGTAAATTATCAGGTGCTGCTTCAGCAGACACAGATGTTGACAAAGGAGCCTCAGAAAATCCAGTACCTAAGGAATGACTCATATGCCTCATGACCACAGAAGATGCATGGAGAGGATGCCCTTGTTCTTGCTGAGATGGTACCTGTTCCAAATTTGGATGCATAGAGAGCTGACTAGGTAGACCCTGGTGAGGCCGTCTCATGGGTTCTGTGTGTTTTAGGCCCGGGAAGTCTGGCCGGGGAATGAAGTTTCCATGCCTTGGATGAGACGGTGCCTCTATAACATTGCCAGGAGTTGTAGGGAAGGGATGCTGTGGCCTTCCATCTGGGGCCCTGTGCCTCAGTTCAATAAATGCTTGGCCCAGTATGTTATGCTGCTGAACTGGCAGGCTCTGTGGTGGAAAGTGCTGAGGAAGTCCAACTGGATTGTTCATCTGTGAGTTATTTAAAGGTCTAGGCATTTCTACAGATACTGATCTTCTCAGGTGTGGAGGAATTCCAGATCCTTGTATTTGCTGAGGAGGTACAAGGAAGCGGTCCTGACCTGACATGGTACCATGACTACTTCCTGAAAATCCAAATCTAAAAACAAAAAGAGTAAATGGTTAAGTATTATGCTGAGTTTAAAATGAGGATGAGAAACATAAAATGAGTTTTAGACCACAAATAAAAAAAATATGGTTGCCAAATGTAAGGATTTAGGTAACGTGAGCAAAGAAAGTGCCTGTGGAATAGACTGCCTGGAAGTAGGAACAAAACTACTAGAGTTTTACAGTAAGGGCCTATTTCTTTTTTTCTGTACTTAGGAACTATGTATGGAGCAGGCTAATCTGGGGAGACTTATATGAAAAAGGGATACTGTAGGTCTCAATACATGAGAATATGAAGACATGAGTGTGGTATACGGGTATATTACTTGCTTGAAGGCAATGAGTGTTAGAACAGATGAAGGTTAAGTATCACCTATACAGATTAAATACACAAGTATATTGCTAGGAAGATGATGGTTTATGTATCTCATTCTCTAATTATGGGCAGCTTACAAAGAAATATGCAATTATACACTAATGCTGAAGAAAAAGAGAAAACTAGGGTAAGAATACAAGATACAGGCAATAAGATTAAAACACACACCTTATAAAGAGTATATTTTGAAGAACTTTCTCATTATAGGTACGGAAAGTTTGGCTTTGACCTTTGTACTAGCCACCTCATATAGGAAATATGGTCTTAAGACATTACTGCTAACTTTACAATACTGTTATCTTTACAATCGCATACTGACAATCTCCTTTCAATTTGGAATGCTTCACAAATACTTTATAAACTTAAAGAGTAGAATTTTGGGAGAAGTCAAGTCTTGTCATCACAAGAGGCTCTGTGTGTAGCTACATTTTGGAGAATGAGACGTGACTCACAGGATAAACTACATCATTGTGGTGGCAAGTAATACAGGAAACAATAACAAATAGTGTATGTTTACAGTACTTAGAGACAGAAAAAAAATCCATGACCTATCATTAGTAGAAAATAGCATCTCAGGAGGAGAAACAAGTATAAAAAAGTATCATCTCTTTCATTAATAGTAAGTTTATCAGTTGCTTTTTTTTAATCAGCAATTTAATGGGATTTCCTATGTTATCCTATGGGTGTACCACCAGTGGTTTAGAGCTACCCAGAGATGACGCTGACTCCTGGCAGGAAATGAAAAGGATTACCTAAATCCATGAGGTCTCATCCCCATACCAGCAACATCGGGAGGATAGGGACCACGCTGATCTTTGGGGAAAACAGCGTATCTAGGTCCAGGAAGGGGGACCATGGGCGATCGGATGTTCCCAGGATAGGGAGGAGGAGGTCGACTGAAGGCCTGGCTGATGCTCTCTGGCTGCCAATTCGGAAGGGGCACTGGGTGAGGCACTGCTGGTGTGTCCTGAGGCCCTTTTTCCTGGCGACTAGCAATCTTCTTCTGCTGCTGTTGCTGGAGAATGATTTCTCTTAGCTTCTGTCGCTACATGGGAAGAAATAAAAGTCACTAATTTCTGACTACCAGTAGCTTTTAAAATCCTAATGAGTTTATTACATGGTTACCAGTAATGTTTAAACTATCAAAACCTTTCAAAACTTGATAAAATACTTCTTACATTTAACACATTCACAATGACAGTTGGACTGCAATTCTTATCTCTCGCTTCTGGGCAGCTTTGAAACACTGATGGTACATGCATGACTGTCCTATAGGGCAAAACAGGAAATTTCATCAATCTGGGCGATGGAAAAGTCATGTATGTACCAACAGTGGTTCACATTAGTAGGAATCTCTTAACTACTTGATAAATTATAAAAATAAATAAAGAAATAAAGAATGGAAGAATAAAGAATGGAAGAAATAAAGAAGGAAGACCTTCTCTTTGGCATACAATGATAATGAAACTGAAACAATTTCAAGACTAGAATTAGAAAACAATTAAATCCAACTCAACTGGTATTAATTTTATCAATTTTATTTTTCCTACTCTTTGATTAAATGAACAGCTTCCACAAATAATACACTTAAAAAATATCTAAAGACAAGCCCTATGTTCACCTGTCTCAGTTTCTCTGTATCTGCTTGAGACATATTCACAGTGTTCTGGGTGTCAGTTCCTCCTGAAGTTGACACAGGCCCAGGAGCCTGGGCAATGCTGGAGAACTGTGGGCCCTGGGAACTCACAGCCGAGTTTGCAGAGGTGTTGAAACCTTCCTCTGGACCAGCCCCTGCCTGGTCAGTGATGTCACGAGTAACTTGGCTGCTTCCAAAAGAGTCAGACTGAGATCTTGGAGTCATTGGTGGTTGATCATAGGGATCACGAGCAGCGGATGGGGAGACACGGCTGAATGTGTCTGGAAGGCCAGAGCCAGGTGGCCTTGGTGTCTGAGAGCACATATCAGGTGGCCTCACCAAAGAGCTAGGTAAAGCAGGTGCTCGGTGTTGTGCTGCCTGCAAGAAAGGGTCCCGGTTTGGCACAAGAGCTGGTCTTGCACCAGATGGCCTGGTAAAACCCTCTGAAGTTCTTGGTCTTGGTGTTGCTGGTGGTTGAGAATAGGGAGTAGAAATTCCAGGTCTTGGAGTCCCGGGAGGATGAGAATATGGATCAGAGTGCCTTTGATTAGCTGCAGAAGTAACAAACATGTCTGTCTGTATAGAAGGCCTGGGGGTTGGTGGCTGTTGACTATATGGATCAACAGTGGTAGGCCGAGGAGTTCCAGGTGGTTGGGAATAAGGGTCCAGATTGGATCGAGTTGTTCCTGAGGGCTGGGAATAAGAATCTACCACAGGTCGTGGTGTTCCTGGAGGTTGGGAATATGGATCCTGAGGTGCTGATCTTGAAATGGTTCCAGGTTGAGAAAAAGCCCTTGAAGAATGGGCAAAAGATTCATTCATTGCTGGATGTGGGATGTGGGGAGGCTGACTATACGGATCATTTGACTGACTATGAGGAAAATTATCCACAGGTCTTGGTGTCAAAGGAGGCCTTTCGTAAGTGTCAACAGACAATCGCCTTGATGCCTGTGACATGGATCCATAAGGATCCTGAGAGGATGGTGGAGGGTGCAAGGGAGTCTTAAAAGGTCCAGAGCTACTATCAGCAGGGGCAGACGCCAACAACGGTCGTGCATATGGATCAGGTATCCGCTGTCTTTGGAAAGTATCTCCCCGAGGAGATGGTTTAGTAAAGTGATCACCAGTTCCAGCTGCTGGAGGACCTTTTGCAGTTTGTTCTGAAACCATAGGAGACCGGGGCAAGCCCAAAGGTTTGGGAAACTGATCTGTCACCATAGGCCTAGGCGTGTCTGGAGGTTTTGCATAGGGGTCATTATTTGTCGTGGAGGAAGAACATAAGTCTCTGCTTGGGGAAGGCCTGTTGGCTGGTGTCTCACTCATCTGAATGGGCCTTGGTACTGATGATAAAGGCACACAGTTTTCCACTGGAGCAACAGAATTTCTTCTGCAAAAGCTATGGCCCCCTGGAGGGGGTCTAGGGGTACCAACCATTTTTGCATAGGGATCAATTGGAGATGGAGGTCGAGAATTAGAAGATCCAGGTGAAAACATCTGTGGAGAATGTGGTTGAGACATCTGAGACTGAGATAGGCCATCCTGAACAGGAACTCGGGATGTGGTAGAAGGAGGAGGTGGAGCCTGTGGCTTGACAAACACAGCATCTGAAGATGCAGAAGCCGGGGCACTGGGTTGCTGTTTAGAGAACAGGTCTTTATGGAATGTCTGAGCAGGAGACATATTTCCATTACTAGGCTGAGGTGTTAAGGGACTCTGTACCCCACTACTTGGTGTATCAGAACCAGAGGGCATAAGAAGGTGCTGAGAACCATGTTGCTGTTGCTGTTGCTGTTGCTGCTGCTGTTGCTGTTGTTGTTGCTGCTGCTGCTGCTCATTTTTGACCTGTTCTAGCTTCTGTGTAGCTTCAATCTTAGCTTGCTGCTTGCTTTTCTGACGCATTTGCTATTAAAATAGGAAAAAAAAAAAAAAAAAACCAATAATATGGTCAAAAAGAAAATAACTATCATGGGGGGAGAAGTCAACATAGAATTAATCTGATGTCAACAGCTACCAGATTGTTTCCATATTAGATTATAAATTCTTTTTAAAAAGCAGTCATTATTCATCACAGTATGCACAATTTATGCCCAGGGCAATGTATTATTCATAATATTTCAATCAACTTTTCAAACTAATCTATTTTACTAAAAAGGGAAACAAACCTATTGCAAGTCACTTTTTCATGTTCTATCAAGAATAATTATAAAATGACATAAAATGACCCCTTCTCAAAAAGCAAAAATACAATTTTAAAAGAGAAAATCACTGAGAAAAAAAGACCTCCTACCTGTCTAAATTTCCATTCTTGTTCATGTTCCGATTCTCTTTGCTTTAATGGATCTTTAAAAAGATCTGAATCAATTCGAGAGCTGGAATCAGTGCTATCTTGCTGTTGCTGCCTTTTCATGGAATCGTTTGACATCTGAACTTTATTAATACGTAAAGCAGCTCTGTTATCTCTGGCTTTTTGCTTTAACAAAAAGAGAAAAATTATCAGTATATGAGAATGTGTTTTAGGAATCAAAATTATGCTGAACTCTGTCATACAAGAGCAAGAAAATATCTAGGTTAAGTAATTGAAAATAGTTGATATATTATTATTTAAAATTTACACTTCCTATAAGCAAGGATCTGGATACTTGTCCATGTTCTTTCAAGCATATGTCCGATCACTGAGATGCTTCTATCTACAGAGGATATTTCTGGCTATATATCTGAATTTAGCCTACAAGATCCCAGCTGCAGTCTAATTTTTAAATTCTAATTCTCTAATACATTCTTAGAAGAATTAACATGCTTCTCAATTTAGAGAAAAAGAAAATATTACATCAATCTTCAAGTTAATAAAACTAGACACCTGAAACTTAGAATTAAAAATCATTGAGAAACACTAAAAATATCCTATCATTACTTTATTAAATCATAACAAAAACAAAATGGCACACAGACACAAATACATATATATACACAAAATATGGTCAAAATATGATGAATGCCCACGATTTTTAAAACTTATTAAAGTAAAAGACACATTGCCAAGAATGACAAGTGAAGAAGAGTATTTTAACTATTCTAATGGGAATTAATGGCAATGTGTCTTTTACTGTAATGACTATTTTAAATTTAAACACTCATTGTATATTTTGATCACACCTCATATATGTTCTCTCTAAACATGCTTTAACCAAAGTAATCATTGAACCAAAAATTAGGTACAACGGAAAGTTAGTGGAAAATAACTAAGTAATTCTCAAAAAAATAATGTTGATTTAATGTGATTTACAATGGAAGCCAAGAATTTGATTCCACCTCACAACTTCTTTTTGGGAAAAAAAATAATTCACCACCTGAACTGTGACTCTTACAAAACTCCCTAATAATTCTCAGCTAGATCATGTTTTAAAAGCCCCTTAAAGGTGTCCAATATGTATCTCTCAAGATTCAGAAAATTCTTTAGTAAACCTTACAATAGCAAATTTATTGTGAAAGAAACAGGCATTTTAATTCACTGCCCAAATTTAGTCATTTTTGCTAAAAAGATAAAATAATCTAAAATGAAATTAAATACAGCCTTAAAACTGATGTCAACACTCAGTATTCTGGTTTGTTCACTAGCTTATAAAAATGTCACATTCCTTATCAAGATACCACTATATAGTAACGCTACGTGTTAGTTGTGCAAATACCAACTAGCATTTTCCACAAATAGAAAATCTATGAAACAGCCTAAGACAATAAAACTAAGGTTTAAACAATGTTTAAAGATTTCAAACATAGGAGTTTGTTTAAATACCACATATGGTGCTCTTTCCTGAGAGCTTGCTTTTCTCCACAACTTAGCAATTTGCTTCACTCGAGTAGTCCAGTCTGCAAAAAAATACATATGGTTTTCTTACACATGGTAACAACGGAACAATAAACACAGACCAGCCATGCCAGTTATTCTTGCAAGAAGGTTATTTGCATGATGTTGTAGGCTGGCCATCCCTAACACAGAAACCAAACTCTGAAACTTTCCAAAATTCACAACTCTGCATGTCAGCAATCACCATAAGTGGAAAACTCCATAGTTGATTTTGCATGAGAGGGCACACAAACAAAGTAGGTACATTTAAAATGGGATGGGAGGGGAAGAGGAAAAAAAAATCCCAAAAAACAAACAAGAGCTGGGATGTGCTGTGTATGTGTACAAACTCCTCATAATAAATGTAGTGATTATGTATTGTAAACAGTACTAATAAAAACTACATTAATAAAAAATACTGTGTAAAATTACCTTCAAGCTATGTGTATGAGGTGTAAATGAATTTCATATTTAGATGTGGATCCCATCCCGAAGATATCCTTGAGACAATCTTAATCTGTATGTATATGTAAATATTCTAAAAGCTGAAAAATTCCTGGTTCCAAGCGTTTCAGATCAGGCGTCCTCAGACAGTAATAAATTGAGTAATTTACATAGACAATATGTCTGCCATAAAGGAGGCAAACAAAGCATTTTCTGAATGAGGCGTTGTCTTATTAACAACATGGCTTGCATTAACTGTAAAACTTTAGCCAAAAAAACTTAAGCCACATATGAAAAATTCCTGTAACTATATGAAATACTACCGCCATACAAGAATTGGTGAATGGTTTACACTTAACAGACGTCCTTCAATTTGACTTTAAGGAAACAATTATATTAAGTAAACATCTTAACACCAATGTATACAACAAAACACAGAAAGATAATTATTTTAGACTCTTCTACAAGATTCAGTGTCATGACGGTATATAAAGTTTCCAAAAAGCCAGTGAAAATGGAAATCAAGTGACAGATCAACAGATTAACATGGTATTTCATTTGGTACTTGAACAAAGTAAAGTTACTCAAAAACTTACATATATAAAATTACATATATTTGTACATATTTTTCTATAAGGACAATTTATGCTGACACAAAATGACAACCATATTTGCTCACCTGTAAACAATAAACATAAGTGGTATTTTTAAAAAAGGCAGTTGATGAATAGGAATATTGCTTTTAATAGGCACCCCTGCATTAAACCACTGATTATTCTATTATTAGGTATGTTAGCATTTAATTTACTTCTCTACATAGTGAATAAAGTAACCAAGGGAGTCATCACAAAAAGGTACCAACAATCAAGGGGCATCGTATGCAACCCTCCTTGTAGACACACCTCATATATCTGTAAAGAGCTTCTGTGCTGACAGACGGCTGGAAAACTACAAGTTATATTTTAACAGAATTTTAAATCCTGGTTTGTCGGACAACAACTTGAAATAACGCAACCATATCATTTGGAAATATTCAACAAATAACAATTCATTAATACAGAATGTCATCCTCTGGTTAGAATTTCAAAAACACTACTATTCCATCTCGTGCTGTTTTCACACATGCAGTGGAAACAGTTAGATGTCATAGTGAGAGGGAAACGAGAGAGGACAGAGTCAGTCTTAGTGCCAGTCCCTTACACCTGAGTCTGATGTAGCTTTACATTGTCAATTAAATGACAAGTTTCTGTTCTAGAAAATCTTCACTTTGCAGAGTCAATTAGACCAGATCAAACTGCAGCTTAAAAAAATCATTACACAAGGCCAGCTTGAACTACACAGCAAGACCTCATCTCAAAAAACAAAACAAACAAAACAAAACAGGTACTACATCCAAGACTTACCTGGGAACTCGACCTTTAAATTGGGGAAATTAATATTGGTGTAAAGAACAGGCGCTACAGTTGCCATTTCACCCAGAGCCTCCTCTTTCTCCCATTTCAGAGTGCTCCTCTGGGCATTTGACATTGTATCGTTTTCTCCTTCCACAGAGGGAGCTGATGGTGTCCACGAGCTGTTAGGGTCATTTGTTATTGGATTAAATGCTGCATTTTTATCCCTGGCAATAAACGAACACTGTCACTTCATAAACAAAAGTAACTTTCTCATACTATGCTCAAGTATCACTTTCATTAAAATTTACTACAAAGTAGTTATAAGAAATATTTCACAATTCGTAGCAAAAAATTACAAATATGCACCTGTAATTTTAAAAGACTAAAAACAATAATTAATATAAATTCAGATTTTTAAGTACCTGGCATCAGTATAGTGGGATTGTATAGCTGAAAATGTTCCTAATCCACTTCCAGGAGGCAAAGAATTATGTGGTAGATGAGGACTGGGTCCAATAAGGCCATTCATGAGTGGCATTCGTGAAAAAACATCTTAAGAGGACAAAGAGTGAATCAGTTTACAGGTTATTCATGAAGCACAAATAACTGAAACACTTGTAAATAAAAACTTTAAACGTTAAAGAGATTTTTTTTCAGTATTGTACTTTAAAATAATACTTGCAGAATGACTTGGTTTATCTATGACTTTGGAATACAACAGCCTAGGGTCTGGATCTTTCTCTGATATTTTTTTTTTTTTGGTGTCAGAGATCGAACTCACAACTTCCTGTTTGCCAACGGGCTCTCACGCCACTGAGCTAAATCCCCAGCCCTAGGGTCTGAACCTTAACTTGAATTGATTTCCGTGTGATCTTGTAAAATGAAGGTATTGTTATATCAGCTGAGACAATGTGTGTATTACACTAAGCATACTGCTTGGTATATAGTAAATGTTCATTACATATTAACAACAAGAAGAATGAACCGGTTTTTGCTTAATTTTCATTACTGGCAGATCAACCTCTTAAAAGTTTTTTTTAAAATCTCCACTTCTTCATGAGCCTTAAATATCTTATCATTGTCTTTCTAAATATCTGTTAGGCCAACGGTAAGATCAGTTCATGTTTTCCCACAGCCTCTTCACTGTAATTACCTAGTTGTCTAAACTACTTGGAAATAAACAGTCCTTGTTAAAGCAGCATTCCAGAAGAAAAAAAAAAATCAAATAGAAACTTTCTGTGCACTTTCAAAGAGCCATGTCTTCCAAGTGTAACGTTTCCCAATGCATAATCAGATCCTCTGAACGTTATAATGCGAATGGGCATGGCTCCAATGCATGTATGAAGAAAGTGAAGTTAATCACACACACGTTTTCAGGATTTTCTCCTAAGGACCTCTAACATAGGTCTTATTCTCCTAAACACCAGGCCTGGACACACTAGATTAGGATTTCACAATAACTAACATTACACACAAATATCCTGGAAGGATTATTGGGTAAGGTTTCTGTTGCACCGTTTTTTGGAGGGTTACTGGGGACTGAACCCAGAGCCACTGCTATAATTGAACTACATACATCCCCCGATACTTCTCACCTCCTTTTAAGATAGGATCTTGCTAAGTCACTAACTGGCCACACTAGGCTCACACGTGGAACTCTCTTGCTTCAGTCTCCCAGTATGCTGGGATTGCAGGAAAGCAATTTCTGCATTTATTCAAAACAGAATGAGGCATCCATTTTCACCTTCAGTGAAAAATGAGTTCCATAAAAGATGCTAAGGTCTTAGTGAAAACTACTGAGGGCCTTTTTGTGTAACTGAGTAAATCAAAGCTGCTTTATTGGTCAAAAAAAAAAAAAAAAAAACCATGATCTATCACAGAACTATCAGTACTACCTATTGTAATTACATTATTATTGGAACTTTTTCCTAGTGACAATACTGTAGCTATTGTTAAGTATTTTACCATATCTCAGCAATGCTCTAAATGCTTTACATGGATTAACTTTGTATACTCACAATAGTCCAATAAAATAGCTCACCCATTTAAGAAAAAGATCCAGAGATGTTAAAACATCATGTTCAAGGAAAGAGAAGTGACATATGAAGTATCTTTCTTTCATTATTAATTTAACAAAGAGGTAGTCTTTCTTTTTTTCTTCAAGTCTGTCTGAGATACCTAATTAGACTTACTGAGTTTAAACATGCAACATTTTGGAGGCAGGTCTCACAGAGAGAACTGAAATGTTATTTCATTCAACCCCTTAAAGGGATATCATATTACCCTATCTCAACCTTCATGAAATTTCTCTCCTGCTTCCTGACCTGTGTATTAGAGCCAATACAACACAATCAGAGCTGCATTGTCACTTCTGCTCATTACCCTCCCACTGCCCACTGAGATGCCCCCTTCCAATATTTTACTTATTTACCCGCTTAACACTGCAACATGTCCCTAATGATCACCATTTCTAAGAACTTCTCAATGTCTCAGGCTCTAGTTTTCATTTTCTTCTAACTTTTTTTTTCTTCTATTTTTAGGTTTGATTTTATCTTTTCTTACTTAGAGAAAAACACAAAATAGAAAAGGTACAAACAATACAGAATTTAAAAAAAACAGTAAAAAATGACTAGTTGATAAATTACATATTGTTATCTTAGTAGTTGTTCAAGTTACAAAATCAAAGCATAAAAAGTAGACAATGATAGTACAAATTAGTCTGTGTGATGAACTAACAAAAATTTAGTAGGATTGTTATATATCTTGCACACATAAACAAACATAGTTATATCATTTAGAGCACTTTCTTTCCCTTTCATTATTACAATAGCTATTATACATTTTGGCTCTTATTACTCTTTCAGTTTATTATTATTATTATTTCTTATACTAGAGACACAATTCGGTATTTACAAATCTGAGTCTGATTTATTTCACTGATGAGGATAGTCTCAAGTTGCCTCCATTTACCTATAAAAGCCTCAAGATCATTCTTTTTTATAGCTAATATTCTATTGTAGAAAAATCTCTTTCATCCATTCTGTGGTTGATGGACATAAACCCACAGAATGGGAAAGAATTTTAGCCAGCAGTCCCTTAGACAAAGGACTTATATCCAGAACATACAAAGAATTTTAAAACATCAAGCTCCCCAAATTCAAAGACCCTCTCTAAAAATGGGCATCTGAGATGAACACACAGTTCTCAGATGAAGATATACAAATGGCAAATAAATGCAAATCACCTTCACTGATCATTCAAGAAATGCAAATTAAAACAGCATTGAGATCTCATCTTACTCCGGAAAGAATAGCTGCCTTCAAGATATCAACTGATAACAAATGTTGGTGAGGTTGCAGGGGAAAAAAACACTGCTCCCCTGTTGGTGGGAGTGCAGACTGGTGCAGCCACTGTGGAAATCAGTATGGAGATTCCTCAAGAAACTAGGATTAGAGGTTCCATTCAATTCAGCTATTCCCTTCCTGGGTATTTTCCCAGAAAAATTGCAAAGGTCATGTCACAGCGATATATGTGCACCCATTTTTTAGCAGCACAATTTGTAATAGCTAAACCATCTAACTTTTGGAAAGGGGATAAAGACTATAAATTTGTACATCTAATATAAAGCAGATGAGCCAGGGACATATTTAGTTATATTTAAAGAATTATCCAAGATTCTCTACAACTGGAGGTATATTCCCTGAAAAAATATCTCGTCTTTCCCATGTAGATTAACACCATTCCAAAGATAATCCTCACATTTTCACCTGTAGACTTGACTAACTGCAACTGTATGTAAGTCACAAAAGGCTGCATGTCCCATTTCTAACCAAAAAAAGCCAGTCTAAAACTGCATTGATTATATCTCCACTACTTTCAAGAAGACACATATCAAGCCTTCCATTGCATGATGATCCTTCAGGTCACGCTGGTTTAGATAAGTATAATTCATTTTATTTTCCTCCTTCTCCACCTTCTCTTTTACATTCATTCACTCAGTAGCATTATCTTACTTACTCTAAATTCATTATCTTTTGTATCTATTCTTCCCTTTTGATTATTACCAAAGTATTACATATAATCTACATTTTAACTTAACCCTAGTCACAAAAAACTCATTCCTACAATTCTTCTTGTCCAAAATCCATTTCTAACACTGACAAGAGAGCTACCTTGCCACAAGACATAACTAATCAAGTCATTCCACTGGCCTGGGCTATTTCTTAGTTTGCAGAAGCCGAGAGGAGAAGGCTAAAAGCTTGTTTTGTTTCCCTTAATCTAGTACCAAAATCTATTTCCAGAGTGGCCCCTTAAACACTACCTCATTTTTCCCTCCATTCTCAGAAAATGTTGAAGTTGCCATTCTCAAATATCTCAGCTTCCCAGTGTCATCCTACATAACTGGATCATGTTAACCTTTAAAATAGAACTAGAACACTGAAATCTCAGCAATTCCCTTCCACGCATATTTTACATCTGTAAATGACTAAATGTCAACATATGTGGAATCTACAGAAACAGGGCTAACGGCATATGCACACATGTATACACACACGGGTAAGAAATTCCTAAGGTATTACTTGAACTATACTCTAAGTTGTATAAATGAAAATCTAGAATACTAGCATTATAATATTATGAAGGTAAACAGCCTTATTAGTCATCTTACACTGCAAATTTAGCATCTAGCGAAAAAAAAAGTCATCTCAAAAACTTCTACATAAGGTGACCTTGTCCCTGCTGTCCCTGCCAAAAATCTAAACAGAACAGAGGGTGGGGGAGAACCACAGTGAAGTGAAATTCATAATTAAGATCTTTTATAAAGCTTGGTCTCTAAACTATGTTATTTTAGTTATAGAAAATATGAAGATAAACCATTTTTATTTGCTGAAGAATATTTAATTATTAAAAAAAAGTGGGAGCAAGAAAGACAAAGAACATGCACAAAAAATTGTACTAAACATAGATTATTTGAGTATTTCATCACATAAATGTAAGAATTTACAAAGATATCATTATTCAATTCAGCATACAGTCATAAGTCCATGACAATGAGATATATAGAGAAATGTTTTCATGCTCAAACTATTCAAAATATATGCCACCATAGAGTTACAAACTCCACATGGGCATGGCGGTGGATGTCTATAATCCCAGCACTCTGGAGGCCAAGGCACAAGTTCAAGGCCAGCTTGGGCTACAAAGTGAGTTTAAAACCAGCTTAACTATATATAGAGAGACCTTGTCTCAAAAAACAAAAACACAAACGAACAAAAAAAACAAACCCAGAATCGCAAACTCCATTCTAGAGAAGATTCCTATATTTGTAGCACTCAAGCAACACCTTCAGATCTTAATTCTAGGCTGTGAAATTTCAGCTCTTCAGGAAGGAGGAGAAAACTGAAATCCTTAACTTATATTGCAACTAGTTACAAGCAGGTAGAAAAAGACTGATTCAATGGAAGAGACAAATTTTCACAAAATTTCATCGAACTTGGTCCCTGGTTTATTTTGCATATATGGACTAAATACATATTTTTTGACAAATTATACCATGATGAGAAACAGAAGTTCTCACTCTACGGAGAAGACCTTAAAACTCCGAGGGATACCTGTTATGTGTGGCCCATGTTACAAATGAAAGAGTGCGGGACAGGCATGGAGATCTGACTGGCTAACCTCTGAGGAAAAGACAGTGAAGCATAAAGGATCACTTTATGAAAGGCAGGCAGGGGACAGTAAGACATGCTGCTCCAAGATAGCAGTCACCATGTAGGAATGACCACATGGCCAAAGTCAGCTGGAGCTAGGATTACGGGAAGGGGTAAGCAAGTACACAGAAAAGTACTGGTCACAAATAAGATGAACTATAGACTTCAGGGAAGTAGATATGTGACCCAAGCTAGTATTTTTCCATCATCACAACCAAGCGTCCTCTCTTCATTTGTGTAAGTGGCAGCTGAGTACTGAAGAACAAGGCAAAACTTGCATGTATGCACACATTTGTGTGTTTGTAATAAAGAACACTGAGAAAAGCTGTGACATACCTGGATTGTGCATTGGCAGTAACTGTGGTGGAGGGGGTGGCTGCGGTAATGGAGCTGGCTGTGTGTTCACAGGACTGAGCACAGCAGTGAACAAGTCTTCAACATCCTTTCCTCCAAGCTCTATGAGGAAAAAAAAGAGTAGTAGTAAAGATTAAAGACTAGTAGGGTCACAGTAGAAGGCGAATCATTTTCATAAACTAAGTATTCAGAACACAAATACCTGGAATTTTATATAACTTGCCAAGAATTGCTCCTAGAATAAAAGAAATAGAAATTATTAACAATTACTGATTTACTATACTGCCTAAACAAATACTTAATAAAGAAATTATTAGAAGTCAAGTCATAAATAAGCATGCAGAAATCTTTGAAAGTCATATCTACTCATGTCTTTTAGAAACCCTAGATGTAGGGCAAATATTTTACCATCTGTGACCATTTTGTCTAGTTCAGGACTGAGGATCCCATCAAGCTGCTCTTCAGTTAAAGGTCGTGAAGTCTGACTCACACTTGGCTGAGGCAAAGAGGAAGGATCATCAGCAATAGAACCAATATCTGAAAGTGTAATTTGAACAAATAAAATGGTGAGCTCAGAAACATACATGAAATTACATACTTTCTGTGTGCCCCAGTATAAAACAGTTCAATGACAATAAATGACTCTCTAGTTCTGACTCTAGCAGGCTGCTTTTAGCAATCTGGATAGCCCAGCAGTAAAAATTAGGTTCTTTGTATTTGGGAATCTACATGCCAGCTACAGCTATCTTTTCAAAGTAAATATATTTCCCAAGGAAACACATCAGATTTACTTTAGCAATGTCTGCAAAAAATAAACCTTAAGTTAAGAAAAGAGTCTCTAACATAAACGTTTTAATTTGATAGTGGTATCAAATGTACATTCAATACAGTACAATAACTAAAACAGAAGGAAAAAATTTCATATAAAATTGTTTAATAGAAAATATAAATGTTCTATTGTTTAATAAATATCCTTTCTAAATAACTTTAAGTATTTTTAAGTATTCGGTAACTACATTCTAAAAATATAAATTATGTTTATAATGTAACAACCTTTATCTCATACATGCAGAATTTTCTGCAACAGTCACATAGGCAAGTAGTTTTATGTGTACTTTTTTTATGCTTTCTCAATATTATTGCTTTAAAAGCAAAAATTCTGTTCTTTGTCTTTTTTTCTCTGTTCTTATTTGATCTTATATTAGCAACTAGCTCTAACATTTGAATATTATAAATTATGTAGTAATAAGCATGAAACCATTTCTTTAAAAAAATTACTAAGAAAATCATCCAAAGCACAGCATGGTGATACTATGCATTAGCTGTATAAAAAAAGGAAAAAGCAAAGTATAGATTAGTGACAAATTAGCACTATTAAAAACATGCATGCACCTATAGGTTTTTTCAACTGAAACCACTATTAAAAAAAAAAAAAAAAAAGTACTAATCAGCGGTCATCCATTGCTCAGTTTCTTACCAAAAGGAAAAGGTGAGCTCTCAACCTGGAAAGTGCATAAATCAAGACCTACGAGACCCAAACCAAATAAAATGGATGATTACCACAGAAGCAACAAGGGTGGGAAATGCAAACAAGAGGCAAGATACAGCAAGACTCTAAGGCAACATGTCTTACATCTAGTGAAATTAGAAAGGTAACAGAAATAACTAACTTGTTATATCCCCCTTCTAAAGTAGAAAAACCAAGGTAGATCAAAAAAAAAAAGAAAAGCAGTGGCCTCTTTGGCAAAGTCAAAACACACACCAAAAAGTGACTTCAATTACTGTAAACAGAATGAAGAGGACATGTGCTCAGCAAACGCGTGCCTCTCACATGACAACTGCATGCAGGCAAAGGGTGCTTTTCTGTACCTGAGTGACTGACTGACTTTGCCAGGTCATCAGAGATTATTCCAAGAATGTCATCATCTGTGTTCAAGACTTCAGAAATATCCGCTAATGGGTCATCAGCAGTGCCTAAATATAGCAAGTACAGTTTTACATTTTCAGTATTTTCCTAAGCATTGTACCCTAAAAATGCCTTCAGTCAACCATTTCCTAAAATATTTAAGATCACAGCAAATATCAAGGCAAGTACTAGAATGACAAAAACTTAAAATTTTACATCTACAGTAATGCATTTTCATGGCAAAGGCAAAGGTTTTGAGTAACAAAAATATTAAAAATTTAGATTATGTTTTGTGACTGATTCACACTGACAAAATGAAATTTATAATAAAGACCTATAAGCAATAAAGTAAAATACAATGCTTTAAGAAACAGAGGAAAAAAGTTCATTATAGATGTGGCATCTTTAAAATGACATGTAGAAAATGAAACACAGCAAAAGTTAATGCACACTTGCTATACCAACAGAATATTTCTATGGTTCATGGATCTGAATAAAATATCCATTACCACTGATGAGGTAGACTTGACATGCTATGTGTACAAAAGAAGGGAAGATAACTTCAAATTATTTCAATAAAATAGAAGATCTATACATGGGTCTCTTGCATCTCCAAGGAATTGATTTTAGGGTCCCCTGGAAATACTGTAACTACTCAAGTCCCTTAGGCTGGCCCTTCGTATTTGCAGATACAGAACCTGCAGGTGAAAGCAAGCAGGCTGTATTTTAATTTAGGACAATACTAAGTTAACAAAACTGATAACTACTTAATATCAAGCCATCTTTTCAGCTGGATGTGGCAGCAAATGCCTACTATAATCCTTGCAATTGGGAGGCTAAAGCAAGAAGACTGCCAAGACTTCAAGGCTAGCCTAGGCTTTAGGCTCCATACTGAGTTTAAGGCCAGCCTGAACTACAGAGTGAGGCCCTACCTTTAAAAAAAAAAAAGTATGCTTTTTCAGTGGGGAGTTGTGTTAAAATTGTTTTCCAAAATGAGTTTATCAAGTGAACTGAGTAACAAATGTACTCAACAGCAAAAAGAAAGCTTGTCAAAAACCATTAATTTATAATTGACAGTACTAAAAAAACAAAAAACCTCTAGAAGTGGGGAAAACACAGTGAGCACTGTGTTATATAGCCAACTAAACCTTGAGAGCCTCACTGACATTATAGCCTTACTAAATTCTCTCAGTCTTCCCAGAGTCTTAAAGAGTTCCATATTCCCTCCATTGAAGACATGGATCTCAAATTGGTGATTCTGCATACCAAGGACCATTTAGAAATATCTGCTGACACTTATGACTATCATGATCTCACGTAGCCAGAAACGCTGACCACTCTCTGTGGCACAGAACAGCCTTCTTCTCCCACAATGAAGAAGCAGAAAGAAATCGGGATGAAGGGCAACATATTTCACTATATTAAAAGTCTACCTCACTTGGGAGGCTGAGGAGGAGGCTTATTGAGAGTTTGAGACAAACATGGGCTACAAAGTAAGGTCAAGGCCAGCCTGAGCTGCATGTTGAGATACTGTCTCAAAAGAACTGAGTGGTGGTGGTATATTTTACCTTAAATTGAAGAGAACAACTCAATCAATTATGGTCAGATTATATCCTTTTGCACTGTCCTCAGTAAAATGTAAGCTGAATGTTTTCCTTTACAACTCCTGATTTTGGTGGTAGGTGTCCAGGTAAATTAGTCTGTCAAATCTAATATACCTGATCACTTATAATAGCTACATTTACTAAATATACAATATACTTCAAAAGAGCTGCTTTTACAAGCATATGTCTGTCAATGAAAACCATTTCTAAAGCTGAAGGAAAAGGAAGGTAAATGCCACTGATAAAGAAAACATCAATTCAGTTATTCTACATACCCTGAGTTCCAGGTTTTGCTGGAGTTGAAGAATTAAGTAGAGGATCAAAGGAAGGCTCCAAGAAACCTGTGTTGGTGTTTGTTTTATACATAAGTTGTGCTGCATCTTCTGATACATTATCTAAATTCAGTTTGTTCTGTCTACTTGTATCTAGAAGATCTTTTCCAAAAAAAGCTTCCTAGACAAAGATAAGCACATGACAAAATCATTAGTTATAAAATTCTAGAGATATTCTGTCATCACTTTTGCAATATAAAAATTGAATACAGAAAAATACAAAAAGACTGCCAATTCTTTTACAGATTTATCTTATTTTTAAAAGAAGACCTGTAGCTTTAGCACTAGAGACAAATAAAATTGTAGAAATACAAACACACAATTATGTCAAATGTGTTCCTAGCCACTGCAGCGTAATAATTCAATTCCAGGCGACTGGGTTACAATTAAATTTAAAAACTGACAGATTTATAATACCACTGGCACCTTAATTCATATTATAAGTGAAGCTAAATTTCGTGAATATTAGTATTTACAGATTACTTGCAGAGGATAACACGAGATTTTGATGTATAGCTTTAATACTTAGATATTTCAAGTAGATTTAGTAATCTCATATTGATTCATAAACAACAATTACACAGAAGATTTCTACTACAAATCTGACAGGGTTTACAGCGTCATTCTATGCACACCGTGCGCGCAGTAGTGCAGCTACTAAAAGGCCCTGGCTTACTCAGCTGAACCTCCCTCCATCTCAGCACACCTCCTCCAACTTGGGGCCAGTGCGCTCAGCTGGGGTCCTGACTCCAGATCTCCCACACTGTTCACTGATCAACACAGAAGACAAAAAGGAAGTCTGCAAGGTCCAGTTTCTTTTGTTCCAACCTAGCAACCCTGCTGCAGTGTATTTGCTACTACATGGCTTGTTTAGAAAAAGGATTCTTTGAAAAACAATTTTGTAGTAGTCATTGACATTTAACACATTCTTAACAAACAGACATAAAATACAAAAGGTAAAATTGGCCTTAATGTTCTTGAGTAGGCATATAACTAAATCAATTACATACACTTGTACTATAAAATACAATTTTAAAAAATATGTAAGCTATCTTAAGAACGTCCTAAACTCTGTTACTAAAGAAAAAGCAGGTTGAGGGCTGTGGGTGTAGCTCAATGGTAGAGTACTTGCCTACCATACTCAAGACATTTAGCTCCACAAAAAAACAAAACAAAAACCCTTTATGACAAATCATGCAGCAAAATATATGAATCAAAACTATTATAAGCACATAAAATATAAAGTTCCCACTTTTGAAAGGGATTAAGGGGTAAAGTCTACTTAGGCAATGATTCAATTAATTTTAAATTTTCTTAGTTTTTAAACCAGTTGTTCACCATGAAAAATTTAAAAATCCACAAAGCAACACTGAATGGAAGATAGTTTGCCTCTTTTCCAGCAATGTTCTGATTATCAGGTAAAGTGCTGAAGAGCACAAAGCACCCTTGAAATTTAAAGGTTATTTATTTAATCCTTTATAAACTTGAGAAATCTGAGACTACAATTAAGCAGTATTTTTAGTAATTAATGGTGACTCAACTAATAATTATTAAGAATTGAAACACTGGCTGGGTGTGGTGGTGCACACTTATAATCCCAGCATTTGGGAGGCTGAGGCAGGAGAAATGAGGAGAAATGTCCCAAGTTCGAGACCAGCCTAGGGTACAAAATGAGCTCAAGGCCACCCGGACCTACACAGTGAAACCATGTTTCAAAAAGACAAAAAAAAAAAAAGAACATTCTTATTGTAGTTAACACACAGAAGAGTATACCAATAGGATTCCTTAACCTAATAGAACCAATCAAGAACTATGGATAAAGTAGCACAAGGGTTTCTAAAAATCACATGGTATCACTAAAAGCTATTGGATTTCCTCAATATTTGTAGTGTAGAGATTATATAGTTTAGACATTTCTGTGGTTCATAAAGAAAATGTAGAAAGAACGCTACTAAATTCCTGCTATATTTTTGCCAGCATATGTTCCCCCAATCAAAAGTGAAAAATGGAACTATTACAAGACACCTAAGAAACAGTACCATTACAAAGGTTTTGTTTTTGTTTTTTTTTTGGTGGTGGTGGTGGTGGGGTGGGTATCAGGGATCAAACTCAAGACCTTGCACTTGCCAGGCAGGCATTTCTGTGCTGAGCTACATCCCTGGTCCCACAAAGGCTTCTTATATCACATTAACTGCAAAAAAAAAAAAAAAAAGGGTTCAACCTTACTGTTAGATCACAGGAAAAAACACAGCCCATTTAAGTAAGGTCTCAGCAGTTAACTGTGACATCAGTTAATGACACTTGCTTCTGTGCTAAAAGTCTTTTCACCCTTTCCTAAACAGGTAAGAAACTCCCAAATGTACAATACAGTTTACCAATGGGGAGCAGCTCATCTGCTCAGTATTCTGGGAAAGGACTGCTGAGAAAGGAAATGAGGCAAAGAGAAAACAAGATCAAAAATACAAATGAGACATGGACTTTTTTTCTTGACCAATGAAATTACTGTTTAAAAATAAATGGAGGTCGAGGGAGTAGCTCAGCTGTGTAAGCACTTGTCTTGCAAGCACGTGGTGATGAGTTTCATCCTCAGTACCCAAAAAAAAAAAAAAAGACCGAAAAGTCAATGCAAAGCTAGGTTGAAACAATGTTTGAAGAACCAGGAGAAAATAAAAACATGTCTTAGGTCTACAAGAAAGTAAGGGACAGAATGGAGAGACTGGATGGACTTATTTTTTTCCTTCTTCAATGCTGGGGATCAAACCTGGGGCAAAGAGACTGTGAATGGGCAAAAAGATGGTGAAGAGAGCAAGATTACACAACTGTTTGGAGAGTGGTATGTAAATACAAAACTCTTGACGCAAAAGGGTAAACTCTAACATGAATATGGCCATTAAAATGTTAGTAGTCTGATTATTAAAAGTTGTATAAGAATTGAAAGAAATTGTGTTTCAAAACAAATTCAACAGTAGATAACTGAAAAACTATTTACAACTCAAGCAGGGCATGTTACATAGATCAGTTTCAGGAAAGGACACATCAGATGAACAATTCTACACTGAAACTGGGGTGGACACTCAGTGATGGTCAGTCCCAATTCAATGAAAGAAACAGAGGCCCAGAAAGGATGAACATCAGGCTCAGACTATAAACTATCTAGGGTTAGCATCAGGTATCTCCCCCAATCCTGTTTCTAATGTAGAGCACATTAAATTACTTCGAATTCTTCTATGACTTAATGTTTTAAGATTAAGAAGATTTTCTTTTTTGTAATCTGTATCTATAAAATATAATTTCTTCACATTGAGACATATTTTTCTAATGTGTATCTAGGAAAACAAAAGAATTCTTTGGCTTAGTCTTTGGTTTACCAGGCTTCTAAAAGTAACAGCTCCTGTCTCAAAAATAGATAGATAGTAGTACACAATTACCAAAGCTGCTACTCTACCTGCTTAAACTTATTTTTATTTAATGATTACTGTAACCTGTACTGGACAAGGCAATTTTCATAGGATCTAAATTTAACCTGCACAATGATATGAGACAGCTCTTCATACTCCAACGTGTCTCTATTATAGCTTATAGAATGTTTAGAAATGAATAAGTGAGATAAACTTTATGGAAAGTATTAAAAAGCACAAAAAACCATAACTGTTAAATTTTATGGGGCTCTAGAAGGCAAAGTGACATTTAAGGCTAAATGAAAATAACAATAAATTTACCTTTAAAAACTTAACACATTACATTCCCTCAATTAACAAACAATATAACATAATGTAAGCACAACATTACCTGTAAATAAGCAGGGAATGTTTCTTCGAGCTTATTTTTTCTTTTTCGGTATCTTTTCTTTATTTTTTCAGTGTTCTCAGCAACAGAAACAGATTCATCAATCAGAGTATCTGGTAACTGCTCACCCCATCCTGAAATAAGAGTCATATTTATACATATGTGACATTTAAATTTGAAACATATCCACCCATGGTAATTTTATAGCTTAGGAACATATACAGTTCCATTTAAACTGTGTCACAAGATCTGGGGCTGGAAATATAGCTCTGTGGCACAGCATCTGTCCGGCAAGCACAAGATCCTGTGTTCAAGTCCCCATACCAAAAAACCAAACCAAAACAAAAAAAACTTCAAAATAAGTTTATTGGTAAGTTATAATCATCATGAAATTTAACTTTCTGTCGTTTAATATTAATATGTTTCCTATTCACTTATAACCAGCATTTTCATGCAAAACAGAAACTTGTTTTTTATTTTATTTTATTTTATTTTCTTGGTACTGGGGATCAAACTCCCAACCTCGCACTTGCTAGGCAGGCGCTTATGCTACTAATCTAAATCCTCAGTCCAGAAACTTGTTTTTTAAAACACAACATGTAGTTATAGATTGTAAAAACTGAAGATACTGAATGCTCATGAGTCTAGCTACTCATACACTCTGACAAGAAATTTAGAGAACACAACTTATTGTAATCTATATTGAAAACCAATAAAATAAATATTATTTATTTATATGTGTTTCCTTTGATCCAGCAATTCTAAGTTCAGAAATGTATTATTAATGAGATCATTCTCTAAAGCACTAAGAATGAGAACATGTGCATTGGTAGATGTGTTAAAAATCACTAGGGTCACTTGTCACTTTCAATTAAACTGTATAAGTTTTGAGTTGTATTTTAAGTAGCTGAAGCCTTTGTTTAGATGACCAGATAGTATCTCACAGAACTAAGCAAGTTAGTCCTTACATTTCCTATACTTAACATAGGAAATACATTTAATAAAGAAGACCTCAAATCTCAGAGAAGGGGCTGGGAGTGGTAGCTCAGGACAGAGCACGTTCGAGTATGTGAGGCCATTGGGTTTAATCGTCAGGACCAAAGAAAACAAGAAAATAAATTAAAAAGGAATACAGTTTGTTGGACTTAAATCATTTTCTTATCAAATTGGACTGCTAGACTAAGTATGAATTATACGTATATCTAAATCCTTCAATCAGTAAGAGCAATATAGTTGTGACAGAAGCATTATTTCTAATAGTTCTTTTTAATCAAGATGTCAAGATCAAGGGGTTAAATCAAAGAAATACCATACTATACCATCATCTCTGCTAGGTAACTGCTCAGAAATAGAGCCTGAGGAATCTTTTCTTATTACACATCTCTTGGTTTTTCCTTGTCCTGTTCGACTTCTTTGTCGTACCATAAACCCACCAATACCTATCAAAAGCAAGAAATTAGATAAACTGATAAATACTTATAAGTTGTCCTGACCCTGTAGTTCTATAGTAACTAAGATGAAATTGCTTTAATAGTGAGGCATTATCCAAAATTAATTCTGGGCTAATCTAAATCAAAAGCCTCATTTTTCTGTAAAATAGAACAGGTTTTGAATTTTAAAAAATGCCAACACTACTACCATTAGCAAGTAAACAGGATTTTTTTTTGTACTAGGGATCCAACTCACAACCTTGTGCTTGCCAGGTAGGTGCTTACGCAGCTGAGCTCAATTCCCAGCCCTTGAAACAAATTTTTAAAACATAAAAATATCATAAGATCAAAGCTGACAATAGAACTGCAGAAGTATGCATCAAAAGGAAATACATGAAATGTTTTTCTGTCAATTATTTAAAAAAAAAAAAATCAAGGCTGGGGATTTAGCCGAGTAACGTAAGCACCTGCCTTGCAAGTGCACGGTTGTAAGTTCAATTCCTGGCACCAAAAAAAAAAAAAAAAGAAAGAAAAAGAAAAAGAAAAAAATTTTCTAAAAAAAAAATCAACTAGTAAAGCACTTGATAAAATTGTTCTAAGTTTGGGATTAGGCATTGAATTTACTGTGAAATATTCAGATAAATTCGTCACCCAAAAAGTGTATTAAAATAGTCCAGTTATTTGATGCATACTTACATTTCAGAGAGTTTTTAGGATGTTATACTTAGTCATGATTAATTAATAATGAAGTCCTTAACTTGGGGGTGAGAGTTTGAGACAGGGTCTTGGCTAGGTAGTCCAGGTTGGCCTTGAACTCACATAAATCCTGCCTTAACTGCCAGAGAGCACAACTGTGCCTGGCTTTTTTTGTTTGTTATAGCCCAGATCTAGATAGGCTGTCTTTGAACTCACAATCATCTTGTTTCAGCCTCCAGAAAGCTGAGATTACAGGAATGCACTATTCCATAATCTATTTTTTTCTAACATAGGCCTTTTACCTGGTCTGTATGGCTTCCTTTTCCTCTTTTTGACACCATCTGTTCCTTCTACTCCCTTAGTTTCCTCATCCACAGCTTCCCGCTCAGGACTAGATTCTGATTTTCCATCACAATCCATAAGTTCTGCTTCTGGAAAAGAGTAAATGTATAGATGAAATTATAGATGTCTACCAAATACAAAAAAGGGAAACATAAAGCCAAGGAGTCAACAGGTCACTGTAATTGTGCATCTCAGCAGGTCGGGAAAGCAGAAAAAGAAATCAAGAATGCCCCACACTTAAAGCAGTGTGTTCTCAAGGATAACAACCTGAGAGTCAGGTAAAGGGAACACACAGAGAAAAAGCTCAAAGACACAATGATCCCTCAACTTGCATTTTACAAATCATTCTGTTTTCATTATGTCTCCAAGTCCCAGACCTCACTCTGTAACCTACAACTCTTCTGAATTCCAATCATAGTGGAAACGGAATATACTCTAGTTATTAAAAACTATCCCAAATTACATACTAATTCAGTATGAACTCGCTTTCTTTCTTATGTTACCCAGCATCATCATAGGACATTAAAAACACCTGGAGAAGACAAATTCTAGATGACAGTGTTGACAAATTCTGATTTATTTTCTCCTATAGTCAAGACTCCTTAGTCTCTTTCTAAAACCAACTTATTTCCCTGTATTTCTATTTTAGTTCGATCTTGGGGCTAATTTACTATAACACTCTCCTAACTCATGCACTTTCTCAATGCACAGTGTTTTTGTTTTCTTTAGGGGTAGAGACTTTTTTTTTCTTGTGTACCAAGTTCTCCAGATTCCAGCAGGTGAATAAGAAGTCTGCTTCTACGAAACTTGCTTCTGATGCACTATGCTAATGATTTAAGACTTGTCTTAGGAGGTATTTACAAAAGGTAAAATTCAACACTAGCAAAAGGAAATTTACTTAAAAAGCATAACTGGGGGGGGGCGGGAGATTTAGTTCAGTGGCATAAGAGCCTGCCTTGCAAGCACACAGTCTTGAGTTCGATCCTCCATACCCCCCCCAAAATAATAATAAAATAAAAAGCACAACTGTTGTAATTTTCCAGGTCATCACAAGTTAATTTGGACTTTGCAGACTTCAGTGGAGTTTAATGCTGTGTCTAAAATTATATGTGTAATATGACCTATAGTACACTCTTGACAAGATATACAGCTCAAGATCACTTCCTGTCAATAATACTTTTCACAATTTAATTTTGGCATTATCCAGTCTCACCCTAATAATACAGAGGGGAAAGTCTACACATTCTCTCATTTTGTTTTTTTTATACTTTCAAAATAAAGAAAAAGATTTGGGAACAATTCAGTTTCAAAGAATGTTTCTGGCAGAGAATCCACTGTCCTCAACATTCAGTAACATGAACACAGGGGTCATTCTAATTATTGACAGAGCAGAACTTGCACCACAACAGAAACAACGTGGGACTCTGCTGAGCTCTATCAGACAGACCAAACAGCTACTGGGGAAGCACTGACTGCACACTGACAGCTGACAGTTCCTGAGAAAGTCCCATCTGGGAAGTGTCACAGTGAGGGTATGGCCTACACCCTTGAGCACTGTCAACATAACTACCCTTTGGGTTTGATCCTAGTATATGTAGTACTTCACAAATGAAAAGTCTAATCATCAGAGAAACTGAATAAATTGGCTAAAACCACTTAGAGTTCTAGGGTTGCATTACACACTTTCCCCCAAAATACCGAGGCATAGTCTAAACATAGAACCTAAAACGTGGCGAATCTTGTTTCATACAAACTAACAAAAAAGGGCGATATATTAGAAATCTTAGCATTCTATAACAAGAATTAAAGGTGACTAGTTTTTCTAGTAGACAGACTTGGAATAATAAAGTCATAAAACTCACTTTACATATGTGTTTGGCATATACATGTATGTGTGGCACATACTGGGTGGGTGATCATAATAATGAGTGATGTTTTTAAAACTGATTACAATAACATAGTTACATCTTCATGGTAACAAGTTATAGCACCCAATTTTTAAAAGGATTTAGCAAACAAGGAAAAAGACAAATGTTTTTCAACTAAAACATGCTTACCTCAGCCCTACAAAAAGTACCTCTCCTTCACAAAAGATTTCAGATCCTGAGATATTGAAGAGTATAAAAGAATAGTAGGAAAATACTACACTCAATTGTTAAAATCCCCAAACTGACAATATTAACATCTAATATACTATACAACATTCATTTTCTTTCATTTTCAATAAAGTAAGGATTCAGTCAATCAAATTAAAGAAGGGCTATTTTACCACATAGTTTCAAAGAAAGCCAGGGTAATTTTTCAACTGATTTTGACAGGAGTAAGAGAACATAAAATTAAATAAAACACCAGTCACATAGTGGTGTTCACAGAACAGGAGTCACATGGAAACTTTCCAAAGTCTTTTTGTTTTGTTTTCTTTTGTTTTGTTTTAGAAGGTTGTATAAGCTCAGCATTTGAAAAATAATTTGTACTATCAAGAGGGTTAGTGTTAGGTCAACTGCAGCATTTTCCAAATTTGAGTTCAGATGAAATCCTTTTCCACACAAGTTTTGATGTCATCAGAAACCAAACATCTTCTTTGTGTGTGACTAATGCTGATCTGGATCTACTGCCCCTAAACATATGGGCAATTTCTTTGCAACCCCCAACCCAGTTTAAGCTTCAAATTCATTATTCAACTCCATTTAAAATGCAGTTATACAGGAAGTGATTTTTTTTTTTCTTTTTATCGGTACCGGGGATCGAACTCACAACCGCCTGCTTGCAAGGCAGGTGCTTATGCCGCTGAGCTAAATCCCCAGCCCCTAAAATGCAGTTATACATAACCACAAAACTTTTCTCTTAAACACACTACTACAAAAGAAAAACATGAGGATTAAATGGTAAAATTACCAGGAATTTACAAGACAATTCTAAGACCACACTTATCTATTACTCAAGGACTATTGGCCTAGTTTGCTGACTGATCTGCTGGACACAATTCTCCTGACAGTCTTACATGTTACAGTAGAAAGACCTTAAAATACAAGTGAGAACATGCTCTTTTCTCCTCAGAAACATCCTGCCAGCCTCGTTCTACTCTGGCAAGTGCAAATTCCCCTACGCATCAAATCTATCCCCAACTCCATCAACACCATGACCATCACCTAGCCTGAATCCTCTCCTCACACCTGTGACTTGACAGGCTCCTACTGTCCCCTAAGTCCCCGTGTCCATACACTGGTCTTCACAGCACTCCTTGCGCATGCTGGGCTTGCACTCTCCAGGCTTCTGCCCTGATTTTCTCATTATCTGAGGATGCTTTGTTCTCACCTCCTCGACTTTTTAAAGTGTATGCTTAAATATCACCTTCCATTTATTTGACCCCACAACATCACTATCTATACTCTTAATTCTTTTTAGCCTCTTTTTCCTTAGCACTTGCTAAGCAAAATAATTTTTTTTTGTTTTTATTTAATTTTTTATTGTGATGTGACCATGGCAATCTTATATATGAAACTCAAGAAGGAAACAACTATGTTCCAAACTGCTAAATATGACAGTCCAAACCATGAAGCTCTAACGGCCATGGTCACTCAGGATAGTTTCTATAAAACTAGACTTTTGACAACGTACTCCAACTTCACGTTTAGCAGGTCAGGTCATCATGCTCATTTGGGAGAGCATTGGTCTAAGCAACCTCTCAATCATGCTGACTCTGCACTCCTAAGGCTGGGTCCATGATAATCTCTGATGAGGCAAGAGCGATTAACTCCATGTGCAGGTTTTTGATGAGCTTTCTGAAGAGCCAGAGAAAGCGCTTCTCAAAGTTGTACATACTTTTGGCAGAAATATTATAGCGCTGAAGTTTCTTCTTTCAGGGAAAGACAACAGACTTTGCCTTTACTTTCCTACCCTTAATGTCCACTTTGTTGTCACACAACACAATGGGGGTTGTTCTCACACACTCCCACTAAATCTCTGTGCCAGTTAGGCACATTCTTGTAGATAACTCTCGATGTCACCTCAAACATGGTAACAGCACACTAAGCCTGGATGCAGTAGTAGTCATACAGCCCTCCTGGCTGGCGGTGTTCCACACACTGAACTTGACAGGGCCGAAGATGGTGCGGAACACAATTAGGCACACCTCCACAACCAGCATGACTACCATTTCTAGAACCTGCCATCATGAATGTGGTCTTCCCAGTGAGGTCATCACCCACCAGGCATGACCTTAAAGTAGACCTCTGGACCCCCATGTGCAGTCATCATGGCCTGAGCTAGGGTTTTGTGCGCTTATTTTTTACAGTCTTGTACCTTAACACTTAAACATAAACTCCATAAGAAAAGGGTTTTACTTTTGCTCATAATGACTTCCAAGATCATGCACAGCATATATACGATAGATACTACTGCCTGATGAAATATAATGAAATAGTTATTACTTTATTTCTGAATCAGCTGAAAAGAAAAAAAAAATCACTCTAAAAACAAACATTCCTATAGTGATCTTTGGAGATAAGTAAAAATGTAACTTGTAAGGACTTTAACATTATTACTCAAATTATAGTACAACTACAATAAAGTTTTTATATCTACTCCAACCAAGAAAATGTTTGTAAATCATGGTTTACACTGAATATCTGTGAGTATAATATACACCTGAAGCAGAATTAATTTCTACAATGCACCTGAAGCAGAATTATTAATTTTTACAACACACAGATCAAATTTTATTTTAACTTAAACACGGCATCCAAGTTTACAATATTTGAGAGCTATTATGCTACTATCTAGTAAACTAAGTCAAACCCTATGAATTTGCCCATCTGTGATCATATCACATACTATGGTCTTGGAGATGTCTATTAAGATAAATGAATCCTAAGAAAATCCACAAAAACAAAGCTTAAAAGGCAAAGTCCAAGAAGATCACTCAGGAAAGGAACATGCTACATTCAAGATTGTCTAAGTCAGTGAGATTTATCCTAATAAGTCATAAAAATTTCAAAAGTTATTTTATACATTAATTCTTGCACGTGTATTCCAAGGATGACAAATCAGTACTACCTCGACTATCATCCATTTCTCCATCCCTTGAATGCTCTGATTGGATGTCTGGAGGGGTTTGAAGGACAGCCACACTATTCTGATTTATAATCTTCAATTTCAATTTTGGTTTTGACCGTTTTCTTCTTGGAACAGTAACTGTGAGACTCTGTAATTGAGTCATCCCTGATTCAGTCAGACAAACACCATCCTGGGTGTAGGTCTTAGGTGGATCTAAAATTTAAAAAATATCAAGAATACAAATTTAAACTTTCGTTTTAAAATTTGACTGGTAAATTAATTACTGTTAACACATAATATATATATCAAAGGAATACAACTGCAGTTTCCCAGAATGATTATCTAAGAGCAACATGAATAATTAACACAATGATGCCTAATTTGAACCGGGAATAATTGGTCAAACTATCCTGAACATTAGGCAAAAGACTATATGTTTTTTAAAAATGGTATTCCTGTCATTTTGGTGAATCACAAGGAAGAACATCTAGCACTGAAGCTCAATGCAATGCATCAACCATCGAACTATGAATCTTTTCTTAGAAGAGAACAAGAGGTAAGGATGAACTAATGTAAAAGAAGCAAGAATACCCCAGAAAGCCATTTGAAAACCAGTGTCAATATAATCACTTACATGGAGTAAGTACGTAAAAACCCTGCAGACTGAATTCTTAATGTACAAAACTGTTCACTAGAATAATTCCTTAACAGTCTAATTTACTAGATGATATCAAATACAAGCAGTCAAAAGAAAGACTGTAAAAGCATCAATGAGTCACCATTCTAAGCTATTACAGAAAAAAGAGAAAAGATTAAAGTACAGTGCTATACTTCTAAAAGAATTTCTTAGCAAGGCTTTCTTTTCTGCTAATAACTGTACAGAGAGGGATATCAATAAAGCCAAAGCAAATAGGACATGAGCAATTCTTTTTCTTTTCTTTTTTTTTTTTCCTTTTTATCGGTACCGGGGATTGAACTCACGAACGCCTGCTTGCAAGGCAGGTGCTTATGCTGCTGAGCTAAATCCCCAGCCCCTTGAGCAATTCTTTTAAAAGCTGCTAATTTTCACTGGCCATTTTCTAAAACTTACAGGAATATTGCCCAAGTAAAACTAGACAAAATGAACATCTTATATTTCAGCTAGAAAAAATTTTAACATCAGAGTACTTAGAACAAACACCTATATGGCTACGCATATTTTATATAAAATGTGGCAAGCCGGTTCTATAAAAACTGACCACTCATTAACACTTTTTCTGAAAAACAATTGAGTAAAGCATTTCAGATTTTACCTAGCTCTTTTACTTTTGTGATGATTTGTGCTACAAGTGAAGATTCACAGCACTCTGAGGAAGGCACTGGAATGAAAATAATTCAGGTAAATTTTTTAGAAAAAAGTTATTAAAGACTTACATATTACTAAATTTTTACGTTTGGTACACATTAAAATAAATGCTTGATTACTAAACAGCATTAAACGTGAACCACACAAATTAAAGAGGCAAAACTGGCAAAAAAAGAAGCAATGTACTGGATTTCTACACATTGCTAATAACTACCAAGACAGCATGTTCTTACAAACAAAATTATATTTTACATCTAAATGTATTTTTATAATTACTTTAATAAAGCTAAGATCATCAGAATTAATTATAACTCAATGACCCATTTTTTTTTAAACAAAATCCTTGTCCAAATAAGAGATTCAAAACAATAAGCAATCAGCAGAGTACTGGATGGCACAGTCTCATAGTTTAAATCATTCTTACCATTTGATGCAGGTATATAGGGTCTGCACATACTACAGTCAAAACCAATGTCTGCTACATTTTCCACTTCCTCCTCTGTATTTAAGTTTTGACAAACTGCATGCATCCATCTAAAGAGAGCATATTCGTACATTTAATGAGAACTGAATGTACTGAGAAGTGATTCTTTATAAAAATTCTAAAGGAATTAACAACTTCAAACTTAAAAGCCCTTAAGCATCACCTGTTCCTACTGTCTAGTGGACTTTCATAAGCTAGTAAGGAAAAGGATGAGAATGGGACTAAGGAGAAAGCAAGTGCACCTTACTAATGAGGACAAGATGATTATTTTGATCATATATTAAATGCATCAAAGAGTAATGAAGCTAGTCAGGGCTAGTAGAAACAAATGCAGAAGATTACACATGTCACAGTATGTGCTCTATGTGATACCTCTAATTTGAAGCAGATGAAACTTTTTTTGTCAGACAAGGTCTCACTATATAGTTCAGGCTGGCCCTGAACTTGACATGGTCCTCCTGCCTCCACCTCCTGAGTGCCGAGATTACAGGTGTGCACCACCATGATGAACTAGATAAAGTGATGCTGCACAATTATTAGAGAATAAAGTGACAGGTGTATTGCTTCAGAACAGAGAGTAGACAGAATCCTAAGAATACCATACTAATATGAAATAACACTTAATAATCATGAGTATGCTGCTTAATTGCTAACAGGGTGTATCATAATGCACCAACAATCAGAGAAAACATTCTTAATTTTGAAGTTACATACACATTACTACTTAGGAAGAACAAGACAGAGCATATAAAATCTAGATATCTAAAAAACAACCTAAAACCTTGATATCTAATAGTGAAGCTTTAAGAAACTGAATTTGAAACTGTTTGTTAAATATAATAAAAGATTCAGAAGCCCGTCCATAGAAAACAACACTTTTGCATCTCATTCCAAGGGATTTATAAATCTTTAAAAAGCCCCCAGTTAAAAATCTTTAGAACTGAGAGTTCAAAACAGAAAATCATTTCTAAGTATCCAGCTGCCTAAAAACCTTGAAAGCTACAGGTTTCATGAACTTTATGATCAGAAAGTTTATTTACTAAATTCCTCTTTGTGTATTTACAGAGTTTAAAAAAAAAAAAAAGCTTGTAAACAATTGTGGAGGGGTTGCAGGTACAATACCTGTCACATTGTCTACACTGCAGAATCAGATCATCTTCTCTGTAGTTTCGGTAGCAGACCGGGCAGGAAGACAGGCTGGCACAAGGAGCACATTGTGTGTAGTTGTTCTGCCACTCACATCTCAGACCTGCAGAAGTTGCTCCACAGTGTCTGCACCAAACACACCTGAAATCCAAACCCCACCCACAAAGTGTCAATTTTATTTATTCATTTAGTTACTGTAATTCTGGAAGCTACACTTATATGGATTACGGGGGAAATATTTTATGTGTATTTGAAATTTTCTGATTGGTTATCTATTATAGCAAATGTGTATTTTGTGATTAAAACATACATGGCTAATAAATGATGCAAGAAAATTCTGAAGTTGGAAGACTGACAACAGAACAAAGGCTAGAATACCATTTGCACTTCCAGCCTCCTTTAGGAACTGTCTGCAGTGGAGGGTCTAAGCAGTAAGTATGGTAACTTATGTCACAGTCATCACAGAGCAGGAGTCTCCCTGGATCAGTTGCCTTCCCACAGGCTTCACACACTGTGCACTCCAGACACCTCCAGCCTTTGCTAAGAACCACTTTAGTGATCTGCAAAAGAAACAACCAATCCAAGCGATTTATACCCTGAGATTTCATCTTGCATAAATGAATTCGGTAAGCACATAACTAGAAGCAAAATAGGCAAGCAACGTTCCTGGACCAATACTGGAGAAGACTCACATATGTGATTTTCAGGAGATCACTTGTTTGGGAGAATAATTGAAAACAGCTTACAATTTAATGTCATTTTTAGTCCATACAGTTACCCTGAACTGCAAGTGATATTCTGTAGATAAATATTGTATTTTTATACATACGGTAGGTAGATTTTAAGTAAGTAAAGTGAGCTATCTCGTTTGACACAGGATTTGTTATTACATCAATGAAGGCTACAATCAATGACACTTCAATGAATTCCATGCTTTTGAAATTTGACTTAGCTATTATAATTCATAGGAACCATTAAGATAAAATAAAACAGAAAAACTCAAGATAAAAGACTTCAGGGATACTTTAGGTCTCAGACAAGTTTTAAGCTATGAAGCTAGGGCTTCTGAAGTTCACCTTCACTTCTCTATTTTCCTCTGTCTCAAAGGTTTGAGTTAGCAGAAATTTTCAGGATCTTTATATTACTGAAAAACCTTACAAAGAAGCCACATCATACAATATTATGAATTTAGAACTAACTCTTTAAAGACCTCAAAAGACTAAAGTACCCAATTCACAATGAAATAAGCAATCAAAATGCAGAGTAGAAATCCAGATCATGGGGGAGTAAGAAAGCTAAAAATCATCAGAGAGAAAAATAAAGAGTCGAACTCAAAGGAGCAACTATCAGAATGGCATCAAGCTTCCCCTCAACCTCAGGCAGCAGAACAGACTCAGCTTCAAAATTCTACAAGAAAACACTTTTCAAGGCACAGTTCTTAATCTAGCTAAACAAACCATCACTTGACAAATAGAATACTGTTTGGACAAAAACTCAAAATTCCGCTCCTGTATATACTTTATGAAGTTACCAAGAGATGTGTGGAGCAGAATGAGGATGTATACAAAAAAAAGAAGATGAAGATTAAGAGAGGAGTGAACTTAGAGGAGCAAAGTCCAAGACTGCAGCCACAGATCATAGCAGGGCAAAGTAAAGTCCAGGAAAAGAGAAGAATTTGCCCAGGAAAACAGGACAACAAATATTCTGATGATGCATTCCAGTAGGTAAACCCAGCAAAGAAAGAATGGAGTTGCCAAAGATTATTTTCTTCTTGCTATTAAAAATTCCAGGAAAAACAAAAGTCAAGAGTATACTAGTTGGATCCACAGTCAACATTCAACGAGTCAAAATAACACTTAAAACTATACAGTCACACAACTATATGATTATTTTCTCCCTGCTATTAATAATTCCAGGAAAAGCAACGGTCATGGTACACCAATGACATCTGCAATGAACATCAAAGTCAACAATTAAATTATATAGCAACACAACTACATTGGAAGGGAGTTGGAGGAAGAGAGAGAACACATAATGAGAATAAAAGCAGAATTTGTTTATTCAAAGCAGAAGTCAACAATATTAACACTGATAAAGCATTGGTACTAGCTTACTAGGAAGAGTTGCAGAATTACCCACAAGGAGAAAGATCTGAAAATAAGAGGTTCCCTAAAACATGAAGTCAAGATAATGTAGGTTGGTTGGTCAGCATACAACTTTTAATTTTTAAACATGTATCTTAATGACTCTATGAACCTTTTTTTTAAAACAGAGATTGAGCTCATGATCTCGCACTCGCCAGGCAGGCAGTTACGCTGCAGAGCTATATCCCTGAACCTCCCCTATTAACTTTTAATTTTAAGTCTTTAAAACTTTAAGTCTTAAAATAACCAGGTTATAATCTGTTGTTTACCCAAATGGATAAAAACAGCCTTGGATAGAAAGAACAGAGGTAGATAAAGCAGGGTTTTTTTTGTTTTGTTTTTTCCTGAGAGACAGATTTTCCTATAAACAGGGAGATAATAAACACTAGCTTTTCGTGGCCCATATGGTCTGTTTCAACTGCACGACTGCCAGTGTTGAACTAAATCACTGTGGATATGTGTAAATGTAAGATCACTTTTATGCATCAATTTTAGTTGAAGTACAGAAACAGGAAGTGAGCAAGCTGTAACACTAGGGCCACAGTGTGCCAATCTTTGGCTCAGAAGAACAGGTAAAGTGGGAGACACCAAATTCTTGGAGTAGAATGTTTTAAATATGTATCTTCATTTCTATTCATTTTTCTTAACTTTACAGAGAAACCTGCTCCAGTGGATCTTTATAGCCTAAATCTCAGGTTGTTATTCAATTTATGTTCACACTCCACAATGCTAAAATGGGTTTCTATGCCCATGACCAATGAAACAGCTCCAGGCAGTGAAGGCTTCCTGACTCCCAAATCCAACCAACATGATGGGCTAACTTATGTATGTTGCTTTACCTCTCTGGAGTATTTTGACAACTTGAACAACTTCTCCGGATTTAAGATTCCTTCCCTCCTATTCTAGAAAATAGTGCTCTACTCTTAATACCTATTTTCTTTTTGTGAACTTGTTTAATCTTTTGGAGACTTAACTGAGGTCTCTGCAATAAGTCACATATCCAGCCCTTTTATCTTGTTTTTATTCTGAAACAGGTCATCTTAAGACCTAAGTTACCCAAGAAGGGCTTGAACTAGTGATTCTCTTGCCTCAGCCTTTCAGAATGCTGAGATTATAGGTATAAGCCACCGAGTCCAGCCTGGTTTAGTCTTAATTTTACAATGTTCCTTGGTCCCATCTACAGTACATGTCTCAAGTAGTGGTAGATGTCTTTTATAATCTACAATGTGTATCTTCTTCCACTATAATTGAGACCATTCCTTTCTCCCATTATAGAAAATTGAGCAAAACATATGAAACAAGTGTTTCCAAATACTGGAGATCATGAAGTATCAGACTGTGATCACTGAGAGGATGGAAATGTGAGAAGTAAGTCTAGTGAAAGGGTCCCTACAGATAGTTCCAAAAAGCTATCAGGGAGGGAGAACTCCAGCATAAATATCTCACTGAGTTGAGAAGGTATGACATAGTCCACAAAGGCTAAGGCAGTTGGAATTGACAGGACACAGTCGAAAAAAAAGAAATGATTGATAAAAGCACCAGAAATCCACACAGGATTCATCTGAAAGTCCCTGGCTGATTCCCAAGCTGCACATCTACAAGGCAGCACAAGAATCTGCACCCAGGAGAAACAATACCTACCTGGGATGTGTAAAGTAAACAATTGCCAGAGTTCTTGAATGGCTAGAAGACATGTGAATTCCAACTGGTCAGAGTAGGAGAACACTGGTAAGCAGAAAGTAGGATCCAGCAGAAACCTAGAAGGGTCACGGCTGAAGTGTAACACAACTAGTGCTAAAAAACAACAGTGCTGGGGCTGGGGATTTAGCTCAGCAGCATAAGCGCCTGCCTTGCAAGCAGGCAGTCGTGAGTTCCATCCCCGGTACCGATAAAAAGGAAAAAAAAAAAAAAAAAAAAAAAAACAAAAAAACAAAACACAACAGTGCTTAAAGGTGGTCTGAAGGTCAAACTGTTTCCATTCTACTAGAAGACATCATGCGCCATTTTCATAGATAGGCTTTTTAGCTGCTGAAATATCTATCAATACTGTCATCATACAAGTTATCCTTGTAGAACATTCTTTTTATAAAATGTACATTTTTTTAAACTTCCAGAATGGCTAAATATTCAATAGTCACAATTCTCAAAACAAAAATTATATTACATAATTTTGAATAGTGTTAAACTTCAAGACCATTAAGTATAGCTGGGCATGGTAACACCCATAATCCCAGCACTCGAGAGGCTGAAACAGAAGACTGCCATGAGACTGAGGCCAGCCTGGCCTACAAGCGAGTTCAAGGCCAGTCTGAACTACATAGCAAGACCATGTCTCAAAAAACCAAAACAACAGCAAAAAATAAAATGTGAAGATATCCAGCTTAGAATGAGGGCTCTCTGGACCTATACCAGGAAGACTAAAAAGAATTTTCCAAAAGGCCAAGTTTATTAACAAATAACTGCCTACTGCAACAACTACTAAGCTATATAACCCACATATTCCTAGTATGCTGGTGGATACTCTCAGTCGGTAAGGCTGTGATATTTTGCACTGTCCAGAACAGAGTTAGAGTTGCTAGAGGGACCACATGCAGTTAATAAAATATGAATTTAAATTCTAGCTTTGCCAGTAACCAGTTATTGAACAGTGTACTAACTGGTCTTAACTTAGAAGCTTCACTCAGTTAACCTATAAAAGGGGAATTATCAGACAAGCAATTAAAAAGGCACAAAGTTCTGAGCAGGAGTCCTTTTGAATGTGAGCTTTCCTCCTAAAACTATTAGTAGAATTAACAAACAAAGCTGTTTATATTAAGGCATCACTTAGGCTGAACTTTTTTTTGTCTTAAAAAGGCTCTTTTTTATGTTCTAAAACCCAAATACAGAGAAATTAGAATATAAAGATACAAAAAATTAACAAACTTTGTTTTCTTATGCACATAATTGTCTTTCAAAATGGCTTCACGTAATCTGGTTTTTTTGTCAACACACTGAGAAATGAATTTTCAAGTACTAATAAATTAACTGCACTAGTGTTCTATATTTATAGATTAACTGTAATTTTTCATTTTGATTCTAAATTTACAAAACTGTGTACTACCCCTAAGAAAGACACAGTGTAGCTATCTGCAAAGAATTCTCAGGAGATGCAAGTTGATTTGTTTTCTGTATTGACATCCTAGAAAAATAATCACATTAATGTGATGGTGTTTGAAGGGCTGGAGAGAAGGGATAAAGATGACTTGTAAGTTCAGGATTATTCAGGACCAAGAAACTAACATTTGTGCTTATACCACAATTCTTTGTGTGACCAGCAAAGAATTGCTTGTGGAGTACATAGCAGAACTCCTGCCGTACGTACAGTTATGGCTCCATACTAAAGTCCAGAGACCACATTACTGTATTTAAATATACAGGTTTTATTAAAACTGAATTCTTATTAAGAAAACAAAAACCAAAGTTCAACAAATGAAGTACTGACTGAGACATACACCTATTTATGTAACTTTAAAACCAAGCACATGAGGTGAGCGATAGAGCTCCACAGCATAAGTGCCGGCCTGGCAAGTGCAAGGTCCTGAGTTTGATCGCTGTACCAAAAAACCAAGAAACTGCAAGATTACCACATAAAACATTCCTCACTGCACCCCTAACCTGAAAACTTGAAGCTGGGCACTGCACGCTTTCTGTTACTATGGAAGTGCATTAAACATGTTTCTTTCAGCTACAAGGAGAAATATTTGAATTTTAAGTATTATTTTACAAACTAAATGCACTTATTTTTGTTTTACTTTTCCAAGACAATCACAGGATAATTAGTATAATTTCAGGTCATGGATTTTTAGCAAAATCAATTTGGGGGGGGGGGCCTGACACAGAGGGGTCTCATTACGTAAGTGGCAGCTAACCTTGAACTCACAGCACTCCTGCTGCCTCAGTCTCTGAGTGCTACGATTACAGGCATGCACCACCATAACTGGCAAGAAATTAATTTCCTGCGCTTACCTACATTAAGTAATATTTAAATATTTAAATATCGTCACACGTGTATAGTAAATTGTAAGGAATAGCTGATTAAGAGGGAACACAATTCAAAGCAAAACTCAGTATACTGTTAACTCACTTAATTTAAGCGTATTTACCTTAATACTGACACAGTATGGATGGTAACACTGACCACACTGAGAACAGGCAAGTAACCTTCCTTCTGCTCCTTGGCCAAAACTGCCACACACCACACACATGTCCTGGGAATTAAGAACACAGGAACCTATTTTGAATTGGAGATTAAGGTTAAAATGTATAATTTTTACTTTTAAAATACTATCTTGATTAATATAGCTCTCTAGCCAAATTACATGCTTTCTGTGCATAAGGAAAGGTACAAATGGGTAAGGGAAAATTAAAAAGCAGAAAATTAAATTCAAACCTGGTGCAAAGTGAATTTGTCACTACTAGAAAACAATACAACTGTATTGTGCATGGAGTTTTCTTCTTCATCCTTATTTGAAGAAATATCTGCAGCAGACACCTACAAAAAAGCAAGATATACCAAATGTCAAATTGTATTTCTCACTTATATTACATTTAATTGTAAAGTTTCAGAAAATTACTATCGAAAGGCTAACTTTTTTCCAGTATCTACACTAATTGTAAATTATGTTAGGCTAAGACATTACCATGAAGCTATGAATCATGACAATTTTTAAATTCATTTGTTTCTTTAGAGTCACAGAGGAGAGCAGGAGAATTTAAAGGAAAACCTTTTCTAGAAACCCTATTAGCTGTGCATGATGTATCCTCTGTACTTAGGAGGCATGAGTTCAAGGTCAACCTGGGCTACACATTGTACATAGTGAGACCGTATTTCAAAAAACAAAAGAAAAAAAAACATTTGTCCAAAATATGTAAGGCATACTTAAAACTCAAGAAGTTAAAAACTACTCAAACTTTATGGATTAAACATTTGAAGAGTGACTATATTAAGTAATAGATAAATTAAAAATGGACATTAGGGCATATAAATGAAATACTTACTACATCTTTATTAAAATGGCTAAAATTAAGTGATCGTATACAATGGTGCTAAGCATATGGAGAACTAGAACTCTCAAGCACTCTTATTGTGAATGTAAAAATGAATCAAAATGAAAAAACAGCTTAATCACATATCTACTACAGTCACCCAATTTATTCTTACATATTTGCAGAAGAAATCCCATGTCCACATAAAAGTTCAGAAGATTTCTTAGGAGTTTAATTCCAAATAGCCAAAATATATAAGCAGCCACATTTTTCAAATAGACAAACAAATTGTGGGGCATCCAGTTTTAAATACAACTACAAAGAGGAATAAACTTTTAACACATATAGTAGTATAAATGAGTCTCTAAATATTAATGCTAAGTGAGATAAATTAGATTTACACAGTATATTCCAATCTTAGTGAACAAAACACACCTGGCCAGTGCTTGGGATTGAGAACTGATGGTGAGGGTAGGGAAGGCAGAAGGTTGACCAGCATCCTGAAGAAATTGCTGGGAGCTTCTTCACTATCTTGATTGTGGTGTAGTTTTCAAGGGTGTACACAAGCCAAAACTAACAGAATTGTTTCTATCAAGTATTTTTAGCCTTGTATTATATTAATTTTTCTCAACAAGCCTGTTTTGCATTTTTTAAAGGATAAGAACCTATGTTATCCTTACTCTTTATATAGTAATAAAACTGAATAATTTCACCTATTTCTTGAACAGTTGGTATTTGAGAAATACTATTTTCATGAAATTAAAATGAAGTTACTACAGAAAAATATTTGCCAATATTTATCAAATACCCTCTTAAAGTGTCATAATATGCTGAGTAACTATCAATTTTAAAATAGGAAGATATTCACTGAATTGTGAACATTTTTTAGAATCTGCATTGGTCTGTAATTTTTCTAGTTTCTTCTTTAAGCCTTATTTGCAGCAAGCACAACTAAAATAAAAAATAAAAATACCAATCTAAAAAACAATGTGAAACAAACTCAAGGTTTAACAAGAGCTTGATTTTTTCAAATAAAAGAATGAATATATTATGTATCAGCTCTTGGGGGAATTTTGGCATAGAAAGATGAAAGTCAAAAAGAAAAGTAAGAATAGACAAAGTAGAAAGTGTAATAAAAGAAAACTTGACCCAGGGATAGATTACAAAAAGGCAGAGATACAGTAAAATTTAAATCAACCAGCCTATTGATGTGACTCTTCAGACAGAAGTAACGTGCTACAAATGAGATTCTGACCATTAACTGACATTTGAAGACCAGACCAAATATAAATAAAGCCTTACCCCAGGCAACACAACAGCTCCAATTCCATTTTTTAGTTTGGACCTGCCTCTGCCACCTCGTCCTGACAGCCCAGCACCTCGAGGTCTTCGCTTTCCTGGAAATCCGGAGCCACGGCCCTACGTATCAGATAGGGGAAGTCAGTACTCAATAAAAGCCAATAGAACTTTAAATTCATATGCTAATGAGATAGAACACTTTATTAAATGTGAATACAAGTACATACTTTTCTCTTTTATTCTCATTAGATGATACATATCAGAGCAAGCTTATTACTTATACCTTTAAATATGCAATCACAGCTTAGAATATAAATATGTAATGTGTATAACCTCTGAATTAAATAATGCATCCATCATTCTGAATGCTGTTCATCAGCAAGCCTTGGCACTACTTTTCTATTTCATGTTTCTGTATTATAGGTGGATAGAATAGCCACATCCAATCTAGATATTTCAAGGTGCAACCAACTGCACTCTATATAAAACCAGTACAAGGAAGAATTCTTACGAACAGGTCATGAACTCAAGGATCACTGTAATAGCTAACATTTACTGAACATTGTGTAATGCTCTAAGCACTTGTTACTCTCAGCAGACCCATGGACTACATGTAGGTACTGCTTTATTATGCCCATTGTAGAGACTAAGATACTGAGGGGTAAAAAATTTTATTAAGTAGCTTGTCCAAGTCCAAGATCATTAGCTCACCAAGTCTGACTCCAGACTGCTTTTTAACTTCTATTCTGCACTGTTACATTGCATCAAAATTACTTTTTACTGTTATAAAACAGAATAAGGACGGTGCCTGTCCTTAAAGTTAAATCAAATTCATCTATTATTTAACAGCAGCCTTATAAACTAAAAAATTCCTGCAGTATTTACAGAAAAAAATTAAATACTGTAAGCAAAATGACAAAAACATAAAAGCCCTGTTTTAAATAACCTGGATGGTAAATACTTGAAATAGGAATAATTTATCTGACTTTTTCACAACACCAGAAAAAAAATTCTTTGGGGAAACATGTTAAGTTTCTGACATTTTAAGGTCTGAGTACAAACATATTTTGAGTTCTGGTTTTTATCTCGTTTTCTTTACACTCAGATTTATGTATTATCCTAAGGGGAACCCTAGCAAGTTAAAGAAGTAGACTTGTTAAAATACTTTACAATCATTGAATTAATGAGGAAAATTGGTGCTTCCCCTAACAAGATAAATAAGATCTCAAATCTTCAACTGATGACATTTATCAGAGTCTGATAAGTGAAATTATTCCCTATTTAGCATAATAGCTTGCAGGTCAAAAATACATGGTTGCACGGTGCTAAGAAGAACCAAAAGGAAGGGGTAACCTTGGATCCCTGTTCATCTTTAATCAACACAACTTTGAGTTTTCAAAAGACCTCTCCTCCTCCAGTTTCCTCTCACCCTGTTTTCATTTAGGTCCTCTGAGAGGTCTGTCAGCTTCTTTGAACAAGGGACAGATTGCATAGGTTATTTGTTTTGTTACTTTTTAAACAGGAAAAAAAACTTTATGAATTAAAAATCAAGCCTAAAATAATCTCTCAATTTGCCTTGCATGCAGTGATACAGATATAATTAATTGAAATGGGTATTTGCTATAACACCATCAAACTAGTTCCTAGTTACCTTTTTATACTCTTAAAACAAGTATACATTATTTTAAAATATTAAAACATCTACAGCCTTATCCCAGAATTATATTAAATACAGAACATGGAGAAAAAATTTGTAAATAAATATTTTAACTTTTGAGATAACTATTTCTTTTTGATATTAATTTTTTCCCCTTCAAAATGTATCAGTTTACTTCTTTCCAGGACTAAGAGAATCATCCACCAATGATAAAGAAAAAGCTCACCAATTGAGAGGTTAATGCACACAATGAAATATGCTGCAACTCTGACTTTTTTCTATTAGTGTATTTTTTATTTCTAAACAATGACACTTGTTACCGTAAGTGAGCAATTACCTTTTCAGTTTATATAACAAGGATTTCCTCTTCACAGAAACACTGATATTAATAGTAACAAAGAAATCAACCATAAAGCAAGCATTAAAATTTCACATTTGTAAAAACTACAATTTAACTTTCTCTCAGCCAAGATCTCTATACCAAACATGTTATCTTCTTTACACTAACATGTTCACATTTTAAAAAGTGGCTCTGGAGACTAAATCTATAACGGCTACTTCTTAACACTGAACAGGACAAAATAAATCGGAAAGAAATGATACATGAATGTAAATGCAATTTTATTTACCACTTTGATGCTCCAAATGGCACTGCCAGGAAGCTGCCTGGGTTTAAAAATTTCCCGACCTTCTGAAATGTCTGGGGACCAGGGAGGTGGGCTCACTGTATTATGGGTACTCCAAGCCCCCTAGGATATGGTGAGTGAGAAAATAGATGTATAAAACTCAGCAACATAAAAGGTCAAAGCCAGCAACTAAAGAATTTTAGAACAGCAAAAACAAATGCAAAGGTATGGAAATTTAGGACAAACTGCTTCAAGAAAGGAAAAATAAACTTATTACAGTGAATTTAGATTGAAATGTTTGCAGTTATGTTTTACATTAAACATTTTACTCTGGTTGAAACATCGTGATAATAAAGCAAATTAAAAATCAAGGTTTACATGACATCAACACTGACTCATGAACTGCAATTGTAGAACCAAAAAAATAAAACTCAATCACAATCCAAAAATTAACCCTAGAAAAAATTATTTGGGAATTCATTTTCTTCTAACAAGTATTACTATGCTGAAAGGGGAAATAGAAAACTTATAGAACCAAAAAAAAAAAAATAAAATAAAATAAAACTCAATCACAATCCAAAAATTAACCCTAGGAAAAACTATATGGGAATTCATTTTCTTCTAACAAGTATTACTATGCTGAAAGGGGAAATAGAAAACTTATAGAACCAAAAAAAAAAATAAAATAAAATAAAACTCAATCACAATCCAAAAATTAACCCTAGGAAAAACTATATGGGAATTCATTTTCTTCTAACAAGTATTACTATGCTGAAAGGAGAAATAGAAAACTTTATACTGTAGTATTATAAACCATCAAACCAGTAGGCCAAGAAATAATAAATGCAGACACTTTAACCTGGTAAGTTTGTAACCTTAAAATACTATTACGAATTTTGTACTTAATTACTCTTTCACCAGTGATCAGTAGATGTGGGTTTTGGTTTTGATTTCTGTTTAGGGGAATAAGTATTTCATGGAGGTTATATCCAATAGATTAATTTTAAAAATAAAGAAATAATTAAAGCAAATTGTCCTAAATTTTCAAATTAAAATATCTCAAGTACCTGGAAAAGTATATGGGAAATGATATTTTGTTAAATAAAACTAAGGAATTTCCCTTCCAAATAACTACAGGAATAATTCAGAAATAATCTAAACTAATCTGATGGAGATACTAAACAGAAGAAAAATGTTTATTTCATGACGGTAAAATTTTTTTTCAAATGTCAACAAAGACCTACTTTGCATTAGGTAACTCAATGATACACGCTAATATGTTACCAATTAAATAACTAAAGCATAGCACATGGTATACAGTACTTACCAGACTTCTACAGCATTATCGAACTACTAAGAATCCCACTTATTACATAAAAATATCACCAGAAACCTAACCAGAAATGAAGCCTTGGCATCGGCGGGAGACAGTTAATGAAGTAACAGTACTACTTTTTGAAATAAATCACCCAAGGGAGAGACCACTTTTAGTCCAGTACTTTATTTCCCTGTACTCATTTTACCCAAGCTCTCAACACCTGGCTCATACTCTGATGGGACTGGCAACAGTACCGCTATGAGTGTGTCAATGACCTTGGTGCTGAGCTTACTCCATCTCCCACTACCCGATTCCAGAGGCCCTGGATGAAGCCCAGACCCTAAATTATCTGTATCATCATCTTGGAAACTGTTGTCTCCCAGATGCACATTGCTAGGTTTAATCTGTTCTAACATCTCCAACTTCGTATAGCTTTCACTTTCCCTTTTCAGTACTTTCATCCAGTGGTACAAAAACCTCTTAATTTATCACATGTAAAATCTCTTCCTTTAGGGAAAAGAACACACAAACAGAAATACACACATACACACCACAGTTAAGACAGTTACACTACTAATTTCTCTTAGTCCATTGAAAAAGAATAGTTTGTGCAAGTATTGTTTAGACAATTAAATGCCTATGTCACATATTCTAATGATAACAATATGCAATGTAATTATTACTATTGTCTTGTTTTGAAATTTTATGTTTTTCTCTTTAAAATAAAATATTAAAAATAAAAAAAATAAAATAAAATCACTCCCTTAACTAGTTTCATCTCAGTCTTCTCCTCGTTATGGGATCCAGTCCTTGTCAAAAAACCGAGAATTCATTTCCCTCATTTTTCCCCAGCCCTCTAATTCTCTTTGCAGAACTCCTTTAACCCAAGTCATCAGTAAATCCAGAATGTTCTCCAGCTTTGTCTCTGGTATGTCTACTCCTCTGCACTTCCACTGCCAGCAGCTAGCTCCTCACCACTCTCTCTCACCTTGTTCCACTTCAGCTATGCACTGCCCTAATGCTCCCTCCTTACCACTGTCTCTTGAAGCTTTCTTTGCCCAGCAACACCAACTCATTCAAACTTTTCTAGTTTTTCTGTCAGTGTTCAATCAGGGTCAACACTGAACCTTTTGTTACTCCAACTCTACAATCCTCTGGAAAAGAACTGGCTTCATCTCATCTCTGAGGTAAGGCCTTCGGCATTTCCACACTTCTGGAATCCTCTCTTTAGCACACGGGAACCACCATCTCCCTTCTCACACCTTTAGCATCCTCTCATTCCATCACCAATTAGGGTACTTTATTGTTTATAACTTGATTTAGTGGTACAGAAAGCAAAGGCAAGAGATGCCTAAGTTTAGTTTTCTGTTTTTTAGCTTTTCTCTGAGGATATTTAGCACATCTTAAATATCTTTAGGTAGATCTTGTAAGGTATCAGTGGCTAATTCTCCAAACACACCACAAAAAGTTCTATTCTAAGATAAAAATACTGAAAGTTTCATAAGTAATTTTTCTGGTTAAGTATGTTATTATTTATAACTTAAAAGTAGCTTCGGTGTCAAATAGCTCATTTAAATAAACATTTACATTGCATATAACATGGATGAACCAAATGAAGGGCTTTACAGATCAAGAATGTTTGGATGTCACTTCAGGAATAATTAGAAACCATTCAACTGCTATTGAGAATTTAAATAATAAAAGCTTAGATAATCATACTATGAATTTTAGTAAGTATACTGTCATAAGACTCTGGAAGATTATGTGCAATTTTATAGGAACTGAGGGAAAGTTATGACTCTACCAATATTCTGACACAGAAAAAGTTACAATTCTTTAGATCGTAAAACTAAAATACAGCAGTACTTAAAAGTTTAGTTATAAATTTTATCCTTCAGATTTTAGCTTTAACAAGAAGAAGAAGAACCAACAGAAACCAAAATGTTAGCTGCTGCTGTCTCAAAAGTGCTCTTCTACAGCAGCAGCATGCACTCACTGCCCTGTAATCACCACCACTGGGTGACGGCTGGCTGGTAAGGACCTGTGCCTCGCTCAGTGTTTTGCTATGTGAAGTTGCACAGAGTTAGCTGGCAGCTACTGGACTTTTTCTTCTGAGCATCTATCAATTTTGCATATATCTATGCATAATGAACTCATTAGTAAAAACTGTACAATATTATGAAATATGCAGTGTAGAGTTTGGGCTCTCTCTCACCTATAAAAAATTATCTATCCAATGCATTTAACCATAACTAATAAGTTAAGAGAATTTCAGACAGTTAAACAGAAAAATTGTTAAAATGCTACCTGGCAGAGATTGCATGAAAGCCAAAGCACAAGAGTTTAATTTCTCTGGTACATTTACCAACCAAGCAAGTTATACAGATGTTACAGAGAAATAGGAACAGTAAGGGCAAGTAAGAGTAGGCTATTTGAGAAAAGTTTCTATTAAAAATAGAAATCATCTTGTTCGTTGTAAAAAATAATGCCACTATTAGAGCCGAAGAGTACTTTTAATTCTAAGAACAGCCAGAGAAGGATTAGTAACTTTATACCCCAAGTTCTAAGTCAAGCCTGCATCCACAAGCTCCCAAAAATCTATACAAAACCAAAGTTGTCATTAAATTACAAATTTAATTAAAGGAAAGAAAGAAAACTAGAAAGGTAGACTAGAAAGGAAAATAAGGCCTAAGAGAAACAGGAAACATAAGAACATCGTTTGTCTTCTTAGTAAATATGTTCATTCACATGCACACTGGAGCTGCAATAGCAAACATCTCAATGACTTAAGAGAATTACTGTTAAATGAAGTTTTATTTACAAAATAGCTTACTATTAAATAAGAAATCAGAGCTGGCTGCGATTTGCGAAGGTACTGTAAAGGTATTGAAAAGGATGACATTTATCAGAACATTTATCACTTCAGAACACAAACAAGGTTTGTGCTACTGATGGTTTTAACCACAGCTTCAAAAGCATCACTACTACCACAGAATGTCTGGTGCTTCTTCTCAGCCATACATGTCTTCAGTCTGGCACTCCAAGCTAAAGGGGGCTATTTTTGATAATCTTTAAAATTAAGGCTTCCTTGAAATGCCTGTTGGACTTCAAACAGCCCAGGGATCTTCTCAAAATAAACACTGTGACTCAAATGTGAGTTGGAAATTGAGCTAACAAACAAACTCCCAGATGATGTCAACATCCCTCTTCTCAGGCAAAAATGTCTGGGTAATAAGAGTTTGATCATTGTATTCTCTAGAAAAATGTCTAAGTCTGCAGTGAATTTTTCCTCTAGCCTTTCTGCTCTCTCAGAGTTACCCCATGGTTTCCTATACTGTGGCAAGTTTCACACATCTTGTATTTAATAGACTATTTACTAGTGCTAAAAACTTGTGCAGTCATTGTGGAATTTTGGAAACCTACTACATGTTGTGTTTGCTGTGACCAGTGTTTCACACAGTCAACCCTTGACATTATCTTCACTAGTACTTTGCAGTACAAATATTAATCAATTTGTTTCAGTACAAATATTAGGTAAGCTTTTTTTTTGGCAAGCTTTTTTAGGATGACCATTCCAGACTTATACATAATAATACACAATTAGCATACCAGTCAAAATCTCCATTCTCATAATTATCTGCATTACACTGCAATTCAAGAAATAAAACAGTACCATTCGCTATATTACATGTGCAATCACTATATTCTAACAAAAAACATGACTTCATTTTATAGATGAATAAAGTAAAGCACAGTTCCACAAGGTAACTTGCTCATGTCTCAAATAATGGGAGGATAAAGGTTT